TCACCCTGCCTCACTACCCAGCCATCACCCTGCACTCACTACCCAACCATCACCCTGCTCCTCACACCCCGCCATCCACCTCCTCTCCTCACTACCCAGCCATCACCCTGCCTCACTACCCAGCCATCACCCTGCCTCACTATCCAACCATCACCCTGCCTCACTACCCAGCATCACCCTGCCTCACTACCCAGCCATCACCCTGCCTCACTACCCAGCCATCACCCTGCCTCACTACCCAACCATCACCCTGCCTCACTACCCAGCCATCACCCTGCCTCACTACCCAGCCATCACCCTGCCTCACTACCCAGCCATCACCCTGCCTCACTACCCAGCCACCACCCTGCTCACATCCAGCCATCACCCCTGCCTCACTACCCAGCCATCACCCTGCCTCACTACCCAGCCATCACCCTGCCTCACTATCCAGCCATCACCCTGCCTCACTACCCAGCCATCACCCTGCCTCACTACCCAGCCATCACCCTGCCTCACTACCCAGCCATCACCCTGCCTCACTACCCAGCCATCACCCTGCCTCACTACCAGCCATCACCCTGCCTCACTACCCAGCCATCACCCTGCCTCACTACCCAGCCATCACCCTCCCTCACTACCCAGCCATCACCCTGCCTCACTACCCAGCCATCACCCTGCCTCACTACCCAGCCATCACCCTGCCTCACTCTGGTGCACAATTTGTCATATAAAGATGGCCGAGTATTAGGACATAAAGTTATTTTTTTTGTCTCTACGATAAACCAAATTTACTTCATTAAAATTTGTTTCAACCAATATCCAGTTACATATTTTTCGAAAATACGTTTTTGAAACGATATTCGCTATTATGAAAATGAAGATATAGAGAATAGTAATGCCTGGATATTTCAAATTATTCTCTTCGTTATTTTCTAGTTTCTCTTCTGTCTCAAAAATGAGTTTGTAAATAAAATATAAACTCTAACCTACGTCAGTCCGCAAAGTTAGCATATCTTATCTTAGTTTATTTTACTTATCCTCTTTTTTGGCTTTGTAAGAGACAGGTAGTTTGTCATGATAATCAGTATTGGGGTCAATGTTTACAGTCTGTATGTAGCATAGTGCACGCTGTAAAGTGCCTTGGATATAGGTGTCATAAGGGTGAAATTCTAGAAGAGTAGTGTAGCCGGATGTTAATGGGACGGCATCCGATAACAGAATACCGAACCATTACTTGGTCCTCAGGACGTCAGTGGGACAGTGTCGAGGTACTAGAATACCGAACCATTACTTGGTCCTCAGGACGTTAGTGGGACAGTGTCGAGGTACTAGAATACCGAACCATTACTTGGTCCTCAGGACGTTAGTGGACAGTGTCGAGGTACTAGAATACCGAACACATTACTTGGTCCTCAGGACGTCAGTGGGACAGTGTCGAGGTACTAGAATACCGAACCATTACTTGGTCCTCAGGACGTTAGTGGGACATTGTCGAGGTATTAGAATACCGAACCATTACTTGGTCCTCAGGACGTTAGTGGGACAATGTCGAGGTACTAGAATACCGAACCATTACTTGGTCCTCAGGACGTTAGTGGGACAGTGTCGAGGTACTAGAATACCGAACCATTACTTGGTCCTCAGGACGTTAGTGGGACAGTGTCGAGGTACATGAATACCGAACCATTACTTGGTCCTCAAGACGTCAGTGGGACAGTGTCGAGGTACTAGAATACCGAACCATTACTTGGTCCTCAAGACGTCAGTGGGACAGTGTCGAGGTACTAGAATACCGAACCATTACTTGGTCCTCAGGACGTCAGTGGGACAGTGTCGAGGTACTAGAATACCGAACCATTACTTGGTCCTCAAGACGTCAGTGGGACAGTGTCGAGGTACTAGAATACCGAACCATTACTTGGTCCTCAAGACGTCAGTGGGACAGTGTCGAGGTACTAGAATACCAAACCATTACCTGATTCTCAGAACATCAATAGCACGACGTCAAGGGTTCATCCGATACCAGAATACCGAAGCAATACCAGGTCTTTAAGCCGATGTAACCCTTAACCCAACCACACCACCAGCGACGTCTGGTACGGTTGATGGGATTTAGTAAATTAGTAAACTTATTCAGGTATACAGAAATACAGTTGCACAAATTATCATACATAGCAGCATATGTATAGAGAACCTAAGATAATCCAAAAAAAAAGTCAGACTAAGTGACTTATTCCCATTGGTTGGAAGAGCCAAGAATCTGGACTTCAATACCAACTCGGTATATCCGCTCGGTAGAGACAAGATGATCATTGGGATGTTGACTCCCACAAGCAACTGCAGCAATAACAGACATCACTAAAGCAACACAGTAGCACTCAATGAAAAGGTGGGGCCAGGAGCTGAGTCTCGACCCCTGCAACCACAATTAGGTGAGTAAAATTAGGTGAATACAGAAGAGGAAGAAGAAGATTAGGAAGGAAGTTTTTGGTATAATTACTAACATTGAGGCACAAAAAGAACAAGACGAAGAAGGTAATTTCTTGTATAATTACAAACACTGGGACACATGCCATTCACATACGACATTAGCCCTTATGTCGCCCCAGTGAATTAATGGGTGATAAATCTTCTCTGGTTTAAATAGGCACAGGTACACATAAGTACAATTATCATACATATGCTAAATGACCCTCCAGGTTAACCCAAAAAAGTCAAAGTGATATATTTCCATTTATATTCCTGTGCTATATACATTATCCTTGGATGATATCCTGCCGAGGCAAATTTTTTATTAGACTCCGAAAAAATGCTGCCTGGTGACCTCTTTCACATTTGGTAGGGGTCCATGTTGTCTCTTGTTCCCTAGATGAAGAACTTTCCGGCACTTTAGAGATGTAGTTGAGAGCGTGAAGTACAGATGGCGCTGGTGATAGTCAAAATTTCCTTATATATTGGTATTGAACAAGTTTATTTAGGTAAAGTTACACGTAAGAACAATACAGTAAACTGAGTTACTTACATGAGTTTTAAACAGAGAGGATCAGCTTGCAATAATAGTGACATGAATGTTAACTAGACAAGAAATCACACTCTTCCCTTGCTGTACCTTCATTCGTCAGGAACATTGGGTATCTTTCTATAGTTTCATTGATTAGGTACCTTTAAGCTCTCTTCCTGAACTGGTTCATGCTAGGAAAGGCTTTGGCATGTTCAGGCAGTCCATTCCACTCCTTTATTGCTGTGCAATAAAAGGTGCGCAACATCTGGGTATCTTTAATGTAGACGTTTCGCCCTCCAGTGGCTTTATCAATACAAATTCCAAGACATGACTGGAAGACAGTAGAACTATATACAAAAGATTGAGTACAATCAGTCCCCATCCTTGGTTGTGTTCGTGAAGAAAGCGAACACCAGGTGATGTTCACTGGAAGCGAACGTCACACAATAAAATACCAGATGTTGTAAGTTTATTCAGGTATACACAGATAGTTACATAGATTATCATACATAGTCAACATTGTGTGTAGAGAAACCCAGAATAACCGCCCCCCTCCCACGAAAAAGTGACATATTACCATGGGTGTCCTTTGCACACAGTGTTCAAATTTTCACGTATACTTGTGTAACCTGAATAAACTTAAAAACGTCCACATTATTATTATAATCTTGGGGAAGCCTTAAACCCGTAGGAATATGCAGTGCTTGTCAGGGGTTGGAATGGAAGGTATTCAGGCTTAATTCGGGGAACTGAAGCACAGATCTAATTTCCTAGATCAAGGAACCTCCCAGTGTCAAGGAACCTCCCAGCGCCAAGGAACCTCCCGGTGTCAAGGAACCTCCCAGCGTCGAGGAACCTCCCACCATCAAGTAACCTCTCACCATCAAGGAACCTCCCACCATCAAAGAACGTCCCACACAAGGAACCTCCCCCTCAAGGAACTTCCCACCATCAAGTAACCTCCCACCATCAAGGAACCTCCCACCATCAAGGAACCTCTCACCATCAAGGAACCTCCCACCATCAAGGAACCTCCCACCATCATGTAACCTCCCACCATCAAGGAACCTCCCACCATCAAGTAACCTCCCACCATCAAGGAACCTCCCACCATCAAGGAACCTCCCACCATCAAGGAACCTCCCACCATCAAGGAACCTCCCACCATCAAGGAACCTCCCACCATAAAGGAACTTCCCACCATCAAGTAACCTCCCACCATCAAGTAACCTCCCACCATCAAGTAACCTCCCACCATCAAGTAACCTCCCACCATCAAGGAACCTCCCACCATCAAGTAACCTCCCACCATCAAGGAACCTCCCACCATCAAGTAACCTCCCACCATCAAGTAACCTCCCACCATCAAGTAACCTCCCACCATCAAGTAACCTCCCACCATCAAGGAACCTCCCACCATCAAGTAACCTCCCACCATCAAGTAACCTCCCACCATCAAGTAACCTCCCACCATCAAGAACCTCCCACCATCAAGTAACCTCCCACCATCAAGTAACCTCCCACCATCAAGTAACCTCCCACCATCAAGTAACCTCCCACCATCAAGTAACCTCCCACCATCAAGTAACCTCCCACCATCAAGGAACCTCCCACCATCAAGGAACCTCCCACCATCAAGTAACCTCCCACCATCAAGGAACCTCCCACCATCAAGGAACCCTCCCACCATCAAGTAACCTCCCACCATCAAGTAACCTCCCACCATCAAGTAACCTCCCACCATCAAGTAACTTTACCTCAGACCACCATCAAGAACCTCACACAATACCTCCCACCAATCAAGGAACCTCCCACCATCAAGGAACCTCCCACCATCAAGTAACCTCCCACCATCAAGTAACCTCCCACCATCAAGGAACCTCCCACCATCAAGGAACCTCCCACCATCAAGGAACCTCCCATGAGTAACCCAACAAGAGGACCCACACCGAGCCAATCAACACTCTAAAACCTAGATGGCACTAGTGGCGCCCCAGCGGCGGCAACAAACCTCCAGATGGCACTGCCATCACATCACACACAAGTGCCACACAGTGCCACCTCCTTCACCTTCCTCGTCACCATAATAACAACAACAGCTGGAGAAAAATATGCGTTAAAAACACCATTTTTTCTCCCTGAAATACCGCCTGGCGAGCCATTATTTTTGACCACTGGTTTTTTTACGTTGTGCCATAAACCCGGCGGGTTAATGGTGGTTATACCGAGGATTATATACCCAGAAAAGTGGTTAAAATAATGTGAAAGTGGCTGATTGCTCAAGGAAATCGTGATGACTCTTAAACAATTTACAAGTTTCTCCTCTGTTTTATTATATATTTTATTTTTTCTGCTTTATTTCCCGTCTGTGTGTGAGGCAATAAAGCACAATAATGCTCACATTAAAGAAAAAGTAAGTTTGGAATATTCGTGGTTTGGGATGAATTGGAATTTCTTGATCCGAGGAGATGGATCAAGCCTCATTGCCGATATTTTTTATATACTTTTATTTTTGTTTTATTTCCCATCAATATATAAGACAATAAAGCACAATAATTCTCACATTAAAGAAAAAGATCAATTTTTCACTATTTTTGGGAGGATCTTGATCCAGGGAGATGGATCAAACCTCGCTACCTCCCGTTATATTCAAGGGGGGAAGCGGTAAACGTGTAAGGGAGGGATGGCAGGTTTGATCCCAGGAGAGGGAGGGTTGATCCAGTTCCTCGGATCAGGAGCACTATGGGACCTCCAGGGAGGCTCCTTGAGGGGGATGTTGATCCAAGGAGTTCGATCTCTCCTGTTTTCAAGGTCTTGTTTATCCCCCACGGGTTTAGTGCTCCCCAGTGAATAATAATAATTGTAATGTAATAATAATAATATTAATAAAGGAATAGTAATAATAATAATCATAATAATAATAATAAAAGTAATAGTAATAATAATAGTGATAATAATAATAATAATAATAATAATAATTATAATTATAATACAGGTATTTGAGAGTAACATATGATAACTTAACCTAGCTTATCCCAACACCTCCTTAATACACTATCTGTGGTTATCCACAACTGCTCGGTGGAACTCGATCGCTGGTTTACGCCTCACAGTGAAGTTTTTGTATAACCTTCGTAAACCACAGCTTAAATATTTCTTGGGAGATAGCGGAAATTGTATGCTTACTTGGTTACGCAACACATTTTGGCTGAGTGGCTTGTCCAATAGTATTGGGTCGTGTCACCCCCTCGGAAGAGTGTAAACGATAATGCACGCCATTACCTCTGGTAAAGTAAGGTTAAGTTACATCAGGGTGGTTTAACCCTTAAATTGTCCAAGCGTAGATCTACGTTCGCTCGCGTAGCGCTCCAAATGTAGATCTGCGTTTTTTTTTTACATTCTTATGGGGAAAATCAAGGTCGGAGCTCTACACGTGAAAACATAGATCTACGTTTGGATAATTAAAGGGTTAAGTTGGGTTAAATGGGTTTCATTAGGCTGGGTTAAATGCTTTACCAATTCCACAATAAAATAATATCCAAATTGTAAACCATGTGTCATCTAAAGTTTAGTTATATTATTCTTTATTGAAATATCTTAGCATCATTTTGCTTACTCTGTTTGCTTAGTAATTTTATTTCCACAGATTACCAGCACTGAGCTCTTAGCAGACAATGACGAAGAAACACTCTTGGTATCGACTCTCGACGGAGCTCTTCATGCCATTTCCAAATCCTCTGGTGTTCTTAAATGGACACTCAAAGATGGTATAATAGAATTCTTTGACCTCTGTCATAATCTTAAACCACATACCCCTCTAAGAAAGTTGATTGATGTTGTTCAGGGGCTTTTGATCTAAGGAATTGGACCAATGCACTGATTCCTTGAATCATTCCTGAGTGTCTTCCATTCTACAAGGCACTGCATGACTTCTATGGGTTTAGTGCTCTCCCATGAATGTAATAATAATAATTAAAACACACATTCCTGTACCTCTTATGTATTAGGGAAAGCCTGGCTACAAGAATAGATTTTGTGTCTTGCAGTTGCAACAAGATTATCACCACCTTAGTGGTGGTGATAAATAATAATAATAATCTTCTACAAGTACATGATTAAACTTGTATAGACCATAGCTGACATCAGTGACATACTACATAGCAAGCCCCGGGTTATGCAGTGATTGGCACATGCATTTATTACCTTCATATTTTTAATAATAATGACCTCATGTACATTCCTTCTTGAGGCACTCGCAGTTTATTTACTAAATATACTTTTTTCAAGACATTGATTAAAAAATTCTTGGCTTATAACTTGAAATGAGAGAGAAAACTCTGTTAATTTGCAAGGAATGTTCTTTTCAGTATGCAGGAATTGAATAGGCAAATTGCCTTTCCTGAAGCAGTATGTATATATACAGCCTCTCCTCATTTAACAATGGAGTTCTGTTCTTAAGACCACATCAGTAAACGAATAGTATGCTCCATTATAGTATGCTCCATTACAATGCTCCTCACTAAGTGAGGAGCATACTATAATGGTAGTGGGCTTGTGTCAACCATCTTCGATATTATTTAAATGTCACCTTTGCACCAATTATAACATTTCTGGTATATTTTTAAATGTTTATACAGCAGTGTGCTCTATATTGTAATAAACAGAATGTTAATTTAGGTATGCATATTGGTCAGAGAGCCTGTCGTAAGTCCGAGTCATCGGTAAACGAGTATGTCACCAAATGAGGAGAAGCTGTATATATTGCATGTAATGCTCAGTAATAACCCACATAGAGTCAGAAACTCAAAAAAGATTAATTGATCTGTATATTTTGATCCCCCTCTGAGATCCTCTTCAGCTAAAGAGGATCCCAGAAGGGGATCAAAATCTTATGAGTTTCTGCTTCCATGTGGATTATTATTGAACATTGACAAGTGTTCATTGTACTTTAGTTATCCATAGCATGTAATAGTATAGGTAGAATTATAGGCAATATACTAGGTGAAAGGACATGTGCAACTAGCACATGTATATATATTTTTTTGTGGCAACATCTTGCTCCTGGAGAGCGAAACGTTACCACAAAAAAATATCACATTTACTTACACATGTCCTTTTGCCTAACAGTATATATATCAACAGAAACCATTGCAATTTTGGCATTAGTCATACATTCAGATTCAAATACAGTACTTTATTTCTTTTATGCAATAGTATACAAATACATAATGTAGTTTACATGTATTAAAACATTGTTAACCACAAAAGTATTATTATTATTATTATAATCAAGGGGGAAGCACTAAACCCGGAGGATTATACAGTGCCTGGGGGAGGATGTGGAAGGCATTCAGGCTTAATTCAGGGAACTGGAGCACAGATCCAATTCCCTAAATCAAGAGCCCCTCACCAACATCAAGGATAGCCACAAAAGAAAAGCCACTGATGTGCAGCGCATCCATGTCATATACATGACAGGGGTGAAACTTGATATTTTGCCTAATCTGATTGCTTTATTTTCTTGAATGGGATAAAATTTGTCATACTAGATCACAAAGCATTATAGATAATTTAACCTGATTGTTGTATAGCAAAGGTTGTCATGAGTAAAACAAAGCCTGGGATTATGCCTCCTGTGGTAAAGAGAGACATTTAGGAGAACAAGGATTTATTTGTTGAGCTTTATCAAGTTGTGACTTAACAGAGCTCTATGCCTGAGCAAAATGTTCTCAGTATAGAGATGTTCTGGAAAAACACGCACACACACAGTACAGTCTAGGGGGCCAGAGACTACAAACCTCGCTCAAGGAAAAAGATCTTGGGGTGAGTATAACACCAGGCACATCTCCTGAAAGCGTACATCAACCAAATAACTGCTGCAGCATATGGGCGCCTAAGAAACCTCAGAACAGCATTCCGACATCTTAATAAGGAATCGTTCAGGACTCTGTACACCGTCTGTGTTAGGCCCATATTGGAGTATGCGGCACCAGTTTGGAACCCATACCTATCCAAGCACGTAAAGAAACTAGAGAAAGTGCATATGTTTGCAACAAGACTAGTCCCAGAGCTAAGAGGTATGTCCTACGAGGAGAGGTTAAGGGAAATCAACCTGACGACACTGGAGGACAGGAGAGAGAGGGGGGACATGATAACGACATACAAAATACTGAGAGGAATTGACAAAGTGGACAAAGACAGGATGTTCAAGAGATGGACACAGCAACAAGGGGACACAGTTGGAAGTTGAAGATGCAGATGAATCACAGGGATGTTAGGGAGTATTTCTTCAGCCACAGAGTAGTCAGGAAGTGGAATAGTTTGGGAAGCGATGTAGTGGAGGCAGAATCCATACATAGCTTTAAGCAGAGGTATGATAAAGCTGACGGTTCAGGGAGAGTGACCTAGTAGCGACCAGTGAAGAGGCGGGGCCATGTGTGCGTACATGCACGCACACATGCACGCACACATGCACGCACACATGCACGCACACATGCACACACACATGCACGCACACATGCACGCACACATGCACGCACACATGCACGCACACACGCACGCGCACGCACGCACACACGCACGCACACACGCACACGCACGCACACACACACACACACACACACGCACGCACACATGCTCGCACGCACGCACACATGCTCGCACGCACGCACACATGCTCACACGCACACACCCATGCGCGTGCGCGCACACACACACACGAGGAGAGGTTAAGGGAAATCAACCTGACGACACTGGAGGACAGGAGAGATAGGGGGGACATGATAATGACATACAAAATACTGAGAGGAATTGACAAGGTGGACAAAGACAGGATGTTCCAGAGATTGGACACAGTAACAAGGGGACACAGTTGGAAGTTGAAGACACAGATGAATCACAGGGATGTTAGGAAGTATTTCTTCAGCCACAGAGTAGTCAGTAAGTGGAATAGTTTGGGAAGCAATGTAGTGGAGGCAGGATCCATACATAGCTTTAAGCAGAGGTATGATAAAGCTCACGGTTCAGGGAGAGTGACCTAGTACCAATCAGTGAAGAGGCGGGGCCAGGAACTCGGACTCGACCCCCGCAACCTCAACTAGGTGAGAACTAGGCGAGTACACACACACACACACACACACACACACACACACACACACACACACACACACACACACACTCACACTCACACTCACACTCACACTCACACACACACTCACACTCACACTCACCTCTCACTCTCACTCTCACTCTCACTCTCACTCTCACTCACTCTCTCTCCTCTCTCTCTCTCTCTCTCTCTCTCTCTCTCTCTCTCCTCTCTCTCTCTCTCTCTCTCTCTCTCTCTCTCTCTCTCTCTCTTTTTCTCTTTTCCTCATTCTTGTTTTTCTCTTATTTTCTCTTTCTTTAATAGGTCCATAATCATTTGCTGATATACAGTGGACCCCCGCTTTACGATCAGCTCCCAATGCGACCAATTACATATGTATGTAAGTGTATTTATGTAAGTGCGTTTGTACGTGTATGTTTGGGGGTCTGAAATGGACTAATCTAATTCACAATATTCCTTATGGGAACAAATTCGTTCAGTAATGGCACCTGAACATACTTCTGGAATGAAATAATATTGTAAGCCGGGGGTCCACTGTATATTGTAAATGCTCCATTATCATCTATTTCATTTTTTTTTTTTTTGTTTTGCAGATCCAGTCATTATAAACCCAACTGATTCTTCACAGCCACCGTTGTGAGTAATATATGTGAAGCAGTAGTGTAATGAACTCAGATTAAGTCATAAACGACTGTAAATGAATAAATAGAGAGATGGACAAGAGGATCTAATCATGGTTCGGAGATCAACAGGTCCAGTGCTCTGCTGCTGGACCTGTTAATCTTGGGACCAATGTTTAAGCCTCATGACCATGTTTCTGTTTCTTCAGTAGTGTAATATATTAATATGATTTAGTTCTGAGGCTATATGCTAGATATTTAGTGATTCTCCATGGTGTCTTATCTAGCATTGTTAAACAGTTTTAGATACGCATCTTATGTTTAATAGCATTTTGAAATACAGGTGCTCCTCGCAGAAAGTGGAATTCAGTACCATGCCAGCTGTACTCAGCTCAGTCAGACTTCAGCAGTTAATTCCACAATAGGAATCTTCAGCGCATTTTGTGAATCACATCAAGTGTTCTGTATATATATTGCACGTTCAGAATTACCAATAGAAATGGGATGTTGCATGATTCCAAATTCACATAAAGAAAACCCACATGAAGCAGTGTTACCTCTACTGTGATTAATGTCAAGCACAAATTACTAGTAGGTGTCCTGTCTTTTATGCTATAGGTGAGTTCCAGACCCATGGAGGCTCTTAAGCTCAATCATTTAGAATTAATCTATATAAAATCTCTGTATAGCCTTTGCAAGCAACACAGATTGCATACAGTGAATGTACATTGCATATATACAGAATTGCTGTGAATTATAGGGCATTACATGATAGCAACTTTGTATAAAGCAAATCCTCATGAAATGAGTGAAATCTTCTGGTATTTTCAGTTTTTTGGTGATGTAATACAGTATTAATTTTATATGTTAACCGGAATGCTTTAGTAAACTTCAGATTAAACTTGGCAGTTATTAATGATGCAGTATTAACCCTCTAGTGGTACACTCTGTAATCATTATTTAACTACATGTGAACCACACAACAACCAAATTCTGTAAATTCAACATTGTAATCTTTATAGAGAATAAACTTGAATTTGAATTTGAATTTAGGGGTTTCGGACATACTAGTACGTCTTACGACCCAGGGTTTTTGACGTACTAGTACGCCTAAATTCTAGCGCCCTCAAATCTAGTGAGAAAAAGCTGGTAGGCCTACATATGTAAGAATGGGTCTATGTGGTCAGTGTGTGCAGTATAAAAAAAATCCTGCAACACAGTGAGTAATGAGAAAAAAAAAACTTTGACCATGTTTTTGGATTAAAACAGCGACTTTGCACTGTATTTTCGTATGGTATTTATTGTTGTATTCTAGTTTTCTTGGTCTCATTTTATAGAATGGAAGACATATTACAGAAATTGAGATGATTTTGACTGGTTTTACAATGAAAAGTACCTTGAAATTGAGCTCAAAGTAGCAGAAATGTTCAATTTTGACCAAAGTTCAAAAGTAAACAAATCATGCAAGCGTCCAATACACATCAACTGGTGAGTCTAATATTCTTTCACAAATGTGCTGATATTATTTATACCATTTCTACACTAATGCAGTAGTCTGCATAACAGTAAATCTTATTTTTTTTGTGAGAATAAAAATTGTGATGAATGGTTTGAAAAACCGACAAATTGAAGATTGAGACACTTATGCAACATATGGGAATCTTTATTCAGGAAACGTTTCACCACACAGTGGCTTCATCAGTCCAATACAAAGTAGAAAGGCATAAGGAGAGGAGGAGTTTGAGGTAATCAGTCCCTCAGCCTGGAGTCGATGTGTTCAGTCCATCAATCTTGTAGAATGTATGAACATTCTACAAGATTGATGGACTGAACACATCGACTCCAGGCTGAGGGACTGATTACCTCAAACTCCTCCTCTCCTTATGCCTTTCTACTTTGTATTGGACTGATGAAGCCACTGTGTGGTGAAACGTTTCCTGAATAAAAATTCCCATATGTTGCATAAGTGTCTCAATCTTCAAGAATAAAAATTCAAAGTGGAAAGCCAAAGAAATATAAGAGGGGCCTGGGGATGTGACTAACGAACAGAGACCTTGTTATTTTAGTGCCAGGAATGTCTTTCTTGTTTATTCTGGACCCTATTCGGAAATTGGCATCTTTTGAAATTTGTGTGAAATTGGCAAAATTGCTAAATTCTGACCACTTTATTGGATAGTTGAAATCAGTAAATGGGTGGTTTCTTGTACTCATTCGATAGAAAAAATGGAGTTTTAGCGAAATAGTTATGATTTTGTCGACTAAGTACTTTGGGAAATTGGCCCAAAAATTAGGGCTCAAAGGGCAAAATCGCCAATGCGTAAACATCGTCGAGACCGCTAACTTCACGAGAGCATAATTCCGTAAGTTTTCTATCAAATTTCATACTTTTGGTGTCGTTGTGATTGGGAAAAGATTCTCTATCTTTTCATAAGATTTTTTTTTTTTTTTTTTTTTTTTTTTTTTTTTTTTTTTTAAATTTGGCCGACCCTGGGAACAAGTCTCTGAGAGGGCCTGTCGACCCCCAAAGGGTTAAGCTCAGTTTAATTTTATTATTTGTAATAATTTTTTTAACATACCAACTGTATCCCACCAAGGCAGGATGACCCAAAGAAAAACAAAAGTCTTCCTTTTTACATTTAGTAATTTATACAGGCGAAGTGGTTCTTCTCTTTCAACAAACTGCCGTATCTCACTGAAGCAGGGTTGCCCAAAAAGAAAAACAAAAGTTTCTCTTTTTAACTTTAGTTATGTGCACAGGAGAAGGGTTACTAGTCCCTTGCTCCCGGCATTTTAGTTGCCTCTTATAACACGCATGGCTTATGGAGAAAGAATTCTGTTCCACTTCCCCATGGAGATAAGAGGAAATAAACTAAGAACAAGAACTAGTAAGAAAATAGAAGAAAACCCAGAGGGGTGTGTATATATATGCTTGTACATGTATGTGTAGTGTGACCTAAGTGCAAGTAGAAGTAGCAAGACATACCCGAGATCTTCCATGTTTATGAGACAGAAAAAAGACACCAGCAATCCTACTATTATATAAAACAATTACAGGCTTCTGTTTTACACTCACTTGGCAGGATGATGTAGTACCTCCCTGGACAGCTGCTGTCTAAGGTGAAATGGTTATTGTAGCAAATTATTTTGTTAAAAGAAGAGACTTGAGAGAGCCTTCCATCATAATTTTCCTTCCATATTATAGGTTTCCTCCTCTATAACAATTTGTTTTATACAAATTTGCTATTTTACAATATCTTTGCCAGTGTTCCTCTGTGTAATTCCTCAATGACTTTATTCATTGGTGGGCAGTTTTTACTGGCTGTGGGGAAGATTATGCCTATGTGCTCTTCACCTTCAGTTTCTTCATTGGATAAATTTTTATTTTTTAACACATCGGCTATTTCTCACCAAGGCAGGGTGACCTGAAAAAGATGAAACACTTTCTTTATCACTTGCTCCATCAGTCCTGCCAGAGGCATGCCGATACTACAGTTCAGAAACTGCAGCACATCTCCACCCCTCCTTCAGAGGGCAGGCACTGCACTTCCCACTTCCAGGACTCAAGTCCGGGTAACCAGATAATTTTGCATGCGTGATATACTGTACATTCACCATGTGCAGTCGGTGAAGCTCCAAAGTTTATTACATTCAACTCTCTTAATTTTTATTTATGAACTGTTTTCCAGCAGACCACAGTTCTTTCCCAACCCACAAGATGGATCCTTGTACCGGTACACACTAGGTCGTGGACGCGAACCACTGAAGAAACTACCGTTTACCATTCCCCAACTGGTGGCCAACTCTCCTTGTCGTTCTAGTGATGGCATTTTTTATCTTGGTATGTAGCATTCTAAAATGATGAAGTTTATTGTTAATCAGTTAATTTTCTTAACCCAAGTGAGGTATTATGATAAAAATTTGTTGGGATTTTTAACCCTGGGGGGCCTAGCCAACCAGGGTAACCCAAGAAAGTCATTGAGTCATCAAGGACTGTCTTATTTTCATTGTAATCCTAATCCTAATCTTGTCCCCCAGGATGCAACCCACACCAGTTGACTAACCCTCAGGTACCAACTTACTGCTAGGTGAACAGGGATGGCATGTATAAGATGACTAACACCCAGGTACCTACTTACTGCTGGATGGAACAGGGATAGCAGTGTAAGGAAGCATGCCCAACATTTCCACCCATGTCAGGAATTGATCCAAGGACACTTAGTGTGTATTGACAGGTGTGGGCTGTTCAACAGACTTGTGATAATCCTTGCACCCATTTTAATGATTCTTATTCAATATGTTCCTCAATTTCAACCATAAAAACTATTACATTTTAATATTTGTCCTCACTGGGTGCAGCATATTCAGGTATAATGAATGAACATTGTATTTCTAGAAGTATACTCCTCTAGGGTTAAAAGATGTAACGGTGTTAAACCGGTCCTGTGTAGTTAATCATTTATATGTGGCATTTTCTGTTGTACTATATATAAGGAAATGTCACATATAGGAATCACTTCACTCCTTGTATCTAATATTTGTATATGTTAGTTTCAGTTTTACATTCTGTAGTGTTCCTTTAATTTTATAATTTATGGTTAATGTTATTGTTCATTATCTTAATATTTTAGGCCTAGTGTTTTTTTAATAAATCTTTCATTATTTCAGTGTGAAAACTGTTTTAAGACTGTTCTTCACTGTCTGTTAACTTGTACTTTTGATACAAAAACACTCTGTTGACAATAATAAAGAAAAAACATAATCGTAGAGCAGGCTTTTGTTGTGGCTGTGCTTTGGTTTATATAGAGCTCTCTTTCTCCCATCCCTGTCCTCTCTTATATATAGTATATACTTTCTCCCTTACCTTCGTGTGTTAGTAGTTTATGGTACAAGTCGGACCAAAACGTCGTCATAAGTTTCTTTCTCTATGTGCACATTACAGTATTTGTGTACAATTAAAACTTGTTTAGAATCTGTACCTTTTTTTTATAGCATAACTTAACCTGAATTTCTCTGCCTATAATAATTTATTGCGGCCACCTGCCCTAACACTTGTTGAGTTCCCTCTCTCAGTGTACTAATCGCTTTCTTGCTTTTCAGTGCTAGTATCATACAGTGTTTGTGTTCTTAAGTATTAATTTTGGTGTGCTGGGAAGCTGCATCAAGTAATAATTTTAAAATGTACAGTTTTTTTTTAACAAATTGGCCATATCCACCCTGAGGTAGGATGCTCTAAAAAGAAAAATGAAAGTTTTTCTTTTTAAATTTCGTAATTTACTCAGGAGAAAGGGTTAAAATATACAAATAACCCGGATATAATAGAAAGCAACTTATGACAACATTTTGGTCCAACTTGGATCATTAATTACTTACACACTAATACAAGAAGGTAAGGAGCCAGTATTATACAAGAGGAGAGCAGGGATGGGCAGAGAGGATAAAGAAAGAAGGAAGTGGAGATAATTTTAAAGATATTTTGGAAATTATTCTTGTAGAGAGTTTTCTAAAATGTCTGGGTGCCTGATAACAAAATTATTATATACAGTAATGGAAAGTTTCAAAGTGATGCTAGTAATGCATAATGGGTATTTTTTCAGGAAAAAAGACGGACTCGTGGGTTGGCGTTGATTCCCTCTCAGGAGAGAAGCAGCTTGTGCTAGGAATTGACATTGTGGATCGTAAGTGCCCTAAACCCTCCCGTAACACTGTCTACTTTGGTCGCACTGTTTACAATATCATCCTCTATGAGGGATCGACTGGCAATAAATGGAACATCAGCTTTTCAGAATATGCTACAAGTACTTCCTCATCATCTGTTGAAAACTATGGTAAGTTATTAGTTATTTACGATGTTTCAAATTATTCAGGGATGAAGAAACAGAAGGATGGACAGGAGGCTTGAACCATGGTCCATAAATTGACAGGCCAAATGCTCTACCACATCAGCTACCAGGTTATTAGAAACCTAGTAGCCAAGGTGGTAGGGTATTGGACCTGTCATTTTACAGACCACAGTTCGAGCCTCCCAGCCATCTTTCTGTTTATTCTTTGATAGTTGTTTATTACAACTTAATCTGTATTTAGAGATGTTCAGTTATGTTACATTATTACTCTCACCCACCTAAGTGACTGTATGTATTAAGTTACTTATATTGTTATTGCTATTAAACTAAAGTTAGTCTTAAGTTTGCCTGAAATGCTCTGCACATACTGCACATGCTCCTGGTCATCCTTCAGACTTGGCAGAGCAACTTTCTGGGGACATGAGCTTCATTAAGGTGAAGTTTTTGCCTCCTAATACCACTCCTCTCCTGCAGCCCATGGACCAGCAGGTCATTGCAAACTTCAAGAAACTGTACACAAAAGCTATGTTTGAAAGGTGCTTTGTAGTGACCTCAGAAACTCAACTGACTCTAAGAGAGTTTTGGAGAGATCATTTTAGCATCCTCAATTGTGTAAAAATTATAGGTAAGGCTTGGGAGGAAGTGACTAAGAGAACCTTGAACTCTGCTTGGAAAAAACTGTGGCCAGAATGTGAAGACAAAAGGGATTTTGAAGGGTTTGAGGCTAACCCTGAGAATCCTATCCCAGGTTGAGGAATCCATGTGGCTTTGGGAAGCCCTTTGGGGGTTGGAGGTTAGTGGGAGGATGTGAGAGTTGGTGGGGGAGGACAATGAAGAACTATCCACTGATGAGCTGCTAGATCATCTTCAACAGCAAGAGGCCACACCTGAGGAAACTGCTTCTGAGGAGGGGAGAGAGAAATTGAAGAAGTTACCTATTTTCTAAGTTTAAAGGGAAAAATTGGGGTGCAATGTGGCTTAAAGTGTAAACCTTTTTTGATGAAAATCACCCTGACACAGCTACTGCAAGCCGTTTGGCACCGTACACTGACAATGTTGTGAAACACTTTAGGAATGTTATAAAGGAACGGAGGTACAGGCCTCTATAGACAGATATGTTGTGCGACAGAGGTCCAGTGACTCTCAAGCGGGCCTAGTGGCTTTAAAAGAAGAAGGGAAGTAACCCTGGAAAAGGACTTATGCCACCTCAAGTCCTAATGGAAGGGATTCCCCTTCTAAACACTAACACCATCAACACTCTCCCCTCCTCCCATCCCATCAATCATCACCAGATCTTAAAAATAAGGTAAGTGTCTGAAAACTGTGCATGTCTTCTTCAGTTTGTGTGTATTAAAATTAATATTTCATGTGGTAAAAAAATTTTTTTTCAATACTTTGGGGTGTCAGGAACGGATTAATTTGATTTCCATTATTTCTTATGGGGAAAATTAACTCGACTAACGATAATTTCGATTAACGATGAGCTCTCAGGAACGGATTAATGTCGTTGGTCGAGGGTCCACTGTATAAACAAATAAGTCACTCACGGGTAAATGAGAGTAGATTCTTTCTTCTTTGTATTTTATTTTACTCTCGTGTGAGATTTACTTTTTCATGGATCACTGCATAAATAACCTGCACATATGAGAAAGAAACTCATGATATTTCAATTGGTCTTGAACCATTAGCTAGTTAATGGTCCAAGTCAGACCGAAACGTCGTTGTAAGTTTCAGGTCTCCTATGTACGGGTTATTTGTGTATTGTTCCAGTCACGGTATTGTGCCTTCTTATACTTTATGGATCATTGTTTATGACATTTATGTTATATACCTGAATATAACTCACAATGGTTTTTTTTTTTCCCTGTAATTTTGATCAGACTTGGTTCACTACACATCTACTGGTCAAGGTTCCATACTAACTGTAGATCAGCAGACCGGCTCACTACTCTGGACGTTGGAGCTTGAATCACCACTCGTTGCTATGTATCTCTTGGGTCCTGAAGGTGAGTGGTTCTCCTGAAAATAGGTTTTGGCATTGAGAAAAGGTGGCCTGAAATTAAATATTGGTAGGTATCAGTGGGTATTAGATTCTGATGGTATCAGTTCAGTAAGTCCTCGACTTACAAACACATTGAGAATCTTCTGTATTGTCCGGTTAGCCAGACTTGAGTTCTAGAAGTGGGAAGTACAATGCCTGCACTTTCAAGGAAGGGGTTTGGGGTATTGGCTGTTTGGAGTGACACCTCAACTGTCATATCTGGGCACCTTTGCAAAGACAGTGATTATGTGTGAATGATGGTGAAAGTGTTTCTTTCTTTTTTGGGTCGCCCTGCCTCAATGGGTTATGGCTACTTTGTTGAAAGAAGATTATACTACTTGCAGTAGAGAGGTAAACCTGTCAGTTTTATGTAAACTATGTGTCTATGTGCCTCTGTCAAGACAGTGATAGAGTGAATGATGGTGGAAGTGTTTCTTTTTTAGGCCACCCTACCTCTGAGAGATGGCCAGTGTAAGTAAAAAAAATTATTCTACTTGAGTACTGTACAGTCATACTAAAATTGACATTCAGTTACCTGATACCGATATTGTATGTATTTTATAATGAACAAGACACTCTTGTGTCGAGGGTGCCCCCTAGTTCTGATTGGCTAAATTTGGGAAAAAAAAGATAAACTGTACTTCAGTCTCCAAGACGCTGGGTAAATTTTTAAGACTTGTATGTTAATGGGAATAAATATAGCATCTTCGATGCCGTAAAACATGGCATATTATTTCTTCTCACCACATTAGCTTTCTCTGGTGATTAATTTGCATCTTGTATTGTTTTCAGGTGGATTGTTAACAGTTCCCATGATAACTGTTGCTCCCCAAACTCTGACTCATTTTACAGAAGAGTTTATGCACCTCACACATCAGTCTACAGATGGTTCTGATGGTCTTCTTGTTAAAAAATTGAGGTACGTTTGACTGTTTAAAAAATGCGTACTGGTACTCGTCGATTTATGATACAGTGGGACCCCGAGTTTCGTACAGCTCCCAACTCAAACGATTATGTAAGTGTATTATTGTAGGTGCTTTTGTAAGTATATTTTTGGGGGTCTGAAATGGACTAATCTAACTTACATTATTCCTTATGGGAGCAAATTTGTTCGGTAACGGCACTCGAACAGCCTTCTGGAACAAGTTATGCCCGAAACTCAGGGTTCTACTATTTCATCTTTACAATGGTGCAAAAGCAATTATTTGGAGATGAAACTTAAGATACTGTAATTATCCAGCATGAAGGCAGCAAGTCTCTAACTTTTATTCATTTACTTTTGAGTATGTACTGGTATTTAGTTACAGTAATTACTTGTTTATTTACTTATTCAGTGACAGTAGTTATATACAGTGGACCCCCGGTTAACGATATTTTTTCACTCCAGAAGTATGTTCAGGTGCCAGTACTGACCGAATTTTTTCCCATAAGGAATATTGTGAAGTAGATTAGTCCATTTCAGACCCCCAAACATACACGTACAACCGCACTTACATAAATACACTTACATAATTGGTCGCATTCGGAGGTGATCGTTATGCGGGGGTCCACTGTATTTACTTATTTATTCAGCATATCATATTCATATTCAGCTTACAATATTTGTAACTTACGATGGGTTTGTCGGAACATAACCCCATTGTAAGATGAGGGCACCTGTAAATGTTTTGTAATTGGCCACTTCATCATTAGCTACCTTGTTGAATGCATCATTCATCACATGTTCATCAAGACTGTGGTACTGACTACCTTCTAGGCTGAGTGACTGATTACCTCGTCTTCTGCCCCTGCAGTCTTCTGTATCGTACTGATCAAGCCACTGGTTGGCAAAACATCCACAAAATAAAGTTGCCCAGATGTGGCACATGTGTCTGATTCATCATGTATTTAACTACACAAGAAGCCATATACAATGCTATACCTAGTTCTTAAGTTATTTGTAGTTTTATGATTAGTTGATTAGTAACCTGAAATGCCTTGCATAATTAGGGACTTTCTTTTGTGCAGATTTTACTCTGTATATTCATTATATTGTATATACATTATCTGAATATTGATAGAAATAAAGCATTATCATTGTGTTGATGAAGTCTTCAAGGGGAAATGATGCTGATGAAATACTCTTGATTCAGGCAACTGGAGGTACCCTTTACTTCTTTGGATCAAATCTGAAACCACAGAACAGGTGGGGTTCAAGCCCCACCCATGCCATGGTTTGTTTGCAGTTATGTCATTACAGTTTAATGAGTCCTGATGCCTCTCATTCCCTAAGTACTGTTTGACCCCCAGTGGGTTTAATGCTTCTTCTGAATAAAACAGTAATATGACACAAGGCATAAAAAATATTAAGGAATGTAAGTTGTGCAGCTCTGATAACATAAAAAATTAATTCCACTTTTTTGCATGCTGGAATTTTTTTTTTTTATTAATGTTAACTGTCAGAGTAAAATATTGAGTCAAATGTGTTTAAAAAATTAGACTAAATAAGTAAGTTTATTTAGACACAGTTATCATACATAGTATAAATTACCTAGGATAACCCAGAAAAGTCAGGTATAAGACCATAAGAAAGAAGGAGCACTGCAGTAGGCCTGCTGGCCCAAGCTGGTTAGGTTCAACTCACACCCACCCACACCCACTCATGTATTCGCCTAACCTATTTTTAAAGCTACACAAGGTTTTAGCTTCAATGACATTACTCGGGAGTTTGTTCTGCTCGTCAGGGAATTTGCTCACATCACTAGCAATTCCCTCGTCAAGGTCATTACCAAACCAGTACAGTGGACCCCCGGTTAACGAACTTTTTTCATTCCAGAAGTATGTTCAGGTGCCAGTACTGACCGAATTTTTTCCCATAAGGAATATTGTGAAGTAGATTAGTCCATTTCAGACCCCCAAACATACACGTACAAATGCACTTACATAAATACACTTACATAATTGGTCGCATTTGGAGGGTGATCGTTAAGCGGGGGTCCACTGTACTTTCCTATTTCCATTGGGGTTCTTAATGCACAGTACTCTTTAGATCATTTTGATCTTCAACAGTCCCACAATCTACATTGGAGAGTGCAGCTCAGGTGTATATGCAGTCCCTGCATTGGTAGATGCTAACGTAGCCACCATCTCACGTAGAGGATCCCAGCTGCTGCTAGAAGGTCCTCCTGGGAGTCGTGGCATACTAGGATCTCGCCAGTTTAAAAGTGCCAGCGATGCAGATGAAGAAAAGAATCCAGATGTCCTTCTTCTTGGTAAGCAAGTCTCTTGCTAGATACCTTTAAATCCTCTCCGCTCATTAAGGTTTGCATTAAACTTCAAACTATCTTCTTTGCATTATTCTTTTTTCTCTGTCTACTGCAGATAAATTAACAAGATGAAATGTTCGTTGATTATGTGTGTATAAGTGCAGGGATTCTCCATGGGGAAGTGGAGAAAAATCCATCCTTCATAAGCCACACATGTTGTAGGAGGCGACTAAAATGCCTGGAGCAAGGGACTAGTAACCCCTTCTCCTGTATAAATTACTATATAAACTATAGTTTTCTTCTCTTTTGGGTCACCCTGCCTTGGTGGTAGACAGCCGGTATGTTGAAGAAAAATGTACAGGGATTTGGTAAATCATTTCTTCAACATGAAAGTGGATAAAGAAATGTAATAAAGATTAGTTGGAGCACAGACGTTTACCTCATACTGAGGTTCAAAAATAGATATGATGGCCCAGTCACTTCACTCATCAAATGTTAAGAGGTGGATAATGGTGGAAGCTGAATGACCAATCGTTGTATAAAGATAATCCACTATGATTTTTTTTTTAACATGCTGGCCATCTCCCATCAAGGCAGGGTGACCTAAAAAAGAAACACTTTCACCATCATTCACACTATCACTGTTTTTGCAGGGACACACACACAACAGTTTAGATGTCATTCTTAATAGCAAATATCCCAAACCCCTCCTTTAAAGTGTAGGCTTTGTACATATGTATGGAAGAAACCACAGTAACAAACGAGCCATGTCCCACCAAGGCAAGGTGACCTAAAAAGAAAAAAGAGAGTTTCTCTTTTTAAATTTAGTAATTTATACAGAAAGGGTAACTAGCCCCTTGCTCCCGGTACTTTAGTTGCCTCGTTATGACACACATGGCTTACAGAGGAAGAATTCTGTTCCACTTCCACATATGTGTGTTAATGCAAGTTTCTTTTTTTTTTTTTTTTTCAACAAGTCGGCCGTCTCCCACCGAGGCAGGGTGACCCAAAAAAGAAAGAAAATCCCCAAAAAGAAAATACTTTCATCATCATTCAACACTTTCACCACACTCGCACATTATCACTGTTTTTGCAGAGGTGCTCAGAATACAACAGTCTAGAAGCATAAACATATAAAGATACACAACATATCCCTCCAAACTGCCAATATCCCAAACCCCTCCTTTAAAGTGCAGGCATTGTACTTCCCATTTCCAGGACTCAAGTCCGACTATATGAAAATAACCGGTTTCCCTGAATCCCTTCACTAAATATACCCTGCTCACACTCCAACAGATCGTCAGGTCCCAAGTACCATTCGTCTCCATTCACTCCTATCTAACACGCTCACGCACGCTTGCTGGAAGTCCAAGCCCCTTACCCACAAAACCTCCTTTACCCCCTCTCTCCAACCCTTTCGAGGACGACCCCTACCCCGCCTTCCTTCCCCTATAGATTTATATGCTTTCCATGTCATTCTACTGTGAATCCATTCTCTCTAAATGACCAAACCACCTCAACAACCCCTCTTCTGCCCTCTGACTAATACTTTTATTAACTCCACACCCTTCTCCTAATTTCCACACTCCGAATTTTCTGCATAATATTTACACCACACATTGCCCTTAAACAGGACATCTCCGCTGCCTCCAACCGTCTCCTCGCTGCTGCATTTACCACCCAAGCTTCACACCCATATTAAGAGTGTTGGTACTACTATACTTTCATACATTCCCTTCTTTGCCTCCATAGATAACGTTTTTTGACTCCACATATACCTCAACGCACCACTCACCTTTTTTCCCTCATCAATTCTATGATTAACCTCATCCTTCATAAATCCATCCGCCGACACGTCAACTCCCAAGTATCTGAAAACATTCACTTCTTCCATACTCCTCCTCCCCAATTTGATATCCAATTTTTCTTTATCTAAATCATTTGACACCCTCATCACCTTACTCTTTTCTATGTTCACTTTCAACTTTCTACCTTTACACACATTCCCAAACTCATCCACTAACCTTTGCAATTTTTCTTTAGAATCTCCCATAAGCACAGTATCATCAGCAAAAAGTAACTGTGTCAATTCCCATTTTGAATTTGATTCCCCATAATTTAATCCCACCCCTCTCCCAAACACCCTAGCATTTACTTCCTTTACAACCCCATCTATAAATATATTAAACAACCATGGTGACATTACACATCCCTGTCTAAGACCTACTTTTACCGGGAAGTAGTCTCCCTCTCTTCTCACACACCCTAACCTGAGCCTCACTATCCTCATAAAAACTCTTTACAGCATTTAATAACTTACCACCTATTCCATATACTTGCAACATCTGCCACATTGCTCCTCTATCCACTCTATCATATGCCTTTTCTAAATCCATAAATGCAATAAAAACTTCCCTATCTTTATCTAAATACTGTTCACATATATGCTTCAATGTAAACACCTGATCTACACATCCCCTACCCACTCTAAAACCTCCTTGCTCATCCGCAATCCTACATTCTGTCTTACCTCTAATTCTTTCAATTATAACCCTACCGTACACTTTTCCTGGTATACTCAGTAAGCTTATTCCTCTATAATTTTTTACAGTCTCTTTTGTCCCCTTTCCCTTTATATAAAGGGACTATACATGCTCTCTGCCAATCCCTAGGTACCTTCCCCTCTTTCATACATTTATTAAACAAAAGTACCAACCACTCCAACACTATATCCCCCCCTGCTTTTAACATTTCTGTCATGATCCCATCAGTTCCAGCTGCTTTACCCCCTTTCATTTTACGTAATGCCTCACGTACCTCCCCCACACTTACATTCTGCTCTTCTTCACTCCTAAAAGATGGTATACCTCCCTGACCAGTGCATGAAATTACTGCCTCTGTTTCTTCCTTAACATTTAAAAGTTCCTCAAAATATTCTCGCCATCTACCCAATACCTCCATCTCCCCATCTACTAACTCCCTACTCTGTTTTTAACTGACAAATCCATATTTTCCCTAGGCTTTCTTAACTTGTTTAACTCACTCCAAAATTTTTTCTTATTTTCATTAAAATTTCTTGACAGTGCCTCTCCCACTCTATCATCTGCTCTCCTTTTGCACTCTCTCACCACTCTCTTTACCTTTCTTTTACTCTCCATATACTCTGCTCTTCTTATAACACTTCTGCTTTGTAAAAACCTCTCATAAGCTACCTTTTTCTCTTTTATCACACCCTTTACTTCATCATTCCACCAATCACTCCTCTTTCCTCCTGCCCCCACCCTCCTATAACCACAAACTTCTGCCCCACATTCTAATACTGCATTTTTAAAACTATTCCAACCCTCTTCAACCCCCCCACTACTCATCTTTGCACTAGCCCACCTTTCTGCCAATAGTCGCTTATATCTCACCCGAACTTCCTCCTCCCTTAGTTTATACACTTTCACCTCCCTCTTACTTGTTGTTGCCACCTTCCTCTTTTCCATCTACCTCTTACTCTAACTGTAGCTACAACTAAATAATGATCCGATATATCAGTTGCCCCTCTATAAACATGTACATCCTGGAGCCTACCCATCAACCTTTTATCCACCAATACATAATCTAATAAACTACTTTCATTACGTGCTACATCATACCTTGTATATTATTTATCCTCTTTTTCATAAAATATGTATTACTTATTACCAAATTTCTTTCTACACATAGCTCAATTAAAGGCTCCCCATTTACATTTACCCCTGGCACCCCAAATTTACCTACTACTCCCTCCATAACATTTTACCCACTTTAGCATTAAAATCCCCAACCACCATTACTCTCACACTTGATTCAAAACTCCCCACGCATTCACTCAACATTTCCCAAAATCTCTCTCTCTCCTCTACACTTCTCTCTTCTCCAGGTGCATACACGCTTATTATAACCCACTTTTCACATCCAATCTTTATTTTACTCCACATAATCCTTGAATTAATACATTTATAGTCCCTCTTTTCCTGCCATAGCTTATCCTTCAACATTATTGCTACTCCTTCTTTAGCTCTAACTCTATTTGAAACCCTGACCTAATCCCATTTATTCCTCTCCACTGAAACTCTCCCACCCCCTTCAGCTTTGTTTCACTTAAAGCCAGGACATCCAGCTTCTTCTCATTCATAACATCCACAATCATCTCTTTCTTATCATCTGCACAACATCCACGCACATTTAGACTTCCCACTTTGACAATTTTCTTCTTCTTATTCTTTTTAGTAATCTTTACAGGAAAAGGGGTTACTAGCCCATTGTTCCCGGCATTTTAGTTGACTTTTACAACACGCATGGCTTACGGAGGAAAGATTCTTATTCCACTTCCCCATGGATATAAAAGGAAAATTAATAAGACCAAGAACTATTAAGATAAAATCAAAGAAAACTCAGATGAGTGTGTATAAATAAATGTGTACATGTATGTGTAGTGTGACCTAAGTGTAAGTAGAAGTTAATGCAAGTCTCTTTATTATATTTAGGTTATTATGATATACCTGAGAAAGTGAACGCTGATTTGGTGAAAGCCAGCCCGGAGGAAATGGGCGAGATGAGTGATCATATTGTACGACTTGGCATCACACATGAAAAAAACAACAGCCAGTCACCTAGGCCTCAAGATGCTGTTAGAAGTGAAGCCAAAGATGCTGACAACATATTTTGGGGTTTGTATTTACATTATTACTTTATTGCTTACAGATTTTTTTTTCTACTAGAGTATTAAAAATTGTTAGCAGATTTTCAGTACTGCCTTGATTAATATTTTTATAGCATTGAAATAGCTCAAAATATAAGTAAAGCCAAAATTATATATATAAAGTGTTTTCACATGTGGTGGAATTGAAATGGATTAAAAGCGTAAGGTAATAGGTGCTACGACCGTTGAAAATTAAAAAAAAAATACAGGTGCTCCTCTACTTTAGATATTTTGAATTTTTGATGGTACAAAAGCAATTACTTTGGAGATGAAGCTTAGCTAATTACCCAGCATGAAAGAAGCAAGTCTGTATTTTTTTTTTTTTTTTTTTTTTTAACAAGTCGGCCGTCTCCCACCGAGGCAGGGTGACCCAAAAAAGAAAGAAAATCCCCAAAAAGAAAATACTTTCATCATCATTCAACACTTTCACCTCACTCACACATAATCACTGTTTTTGCAGAGGTACTCAGAATACAACAGTTTAGAAGCATATACCTATAAAGATACACAACATATCCCTCCAAACTGCCAATATCTCAAACCCCTCCTTTAAAGTGCAGGCATTGTACTTCCCATTTCCAGGACTCAAGTCCGGCTATATAAAAATAACCGGTTTCCCTGAATCCCTTCACTAAATATTACCCTGCTCACACTCTAACAGATCGTCTGGTCCCAAATACCATTCGTCTCCATTCACTCCTATCTAACACGCTCACACACGCCTGCTGGAAGTCCAGGCCCCTCGCCCACAAAACCTCCTTTACCCCCTCCCTCCAACCTTTTCAAGGACGACCCCTACCCCACCTTCCTTCCCATACTTTTCAATACTGGTATTTATTTGATTACAGTAATTATTTGTTTATTTACTTACTCAGTGATAGTAGTTATTTAACTTATTTATTATTTTTTTTAACACATCAGCCATTTCCCACTGAGGCAGAGTGACCCAAAAAGAAAGAAACTTTCATCATCGCTCATACATAATCACTGTCTTTACAGAAGCGCTCAGATACAATAGTTTAGATGTCCCTCCAAACTGCCAATATCCTAAACCCCTTCTTTATAGTGCAGGCATTATACTGTCCACTTCCAGGACTCGAGTCTGGCTACCCGGTTTCCTTGAATTCCTTCATAAAATATTACCATGTTCACACTTATTTATCTTTCAACAAACCATCCGCATCCCACCAAGTCAGGGTAGCCCAAAAAAGAAAAACAAGCGTTTCTCTTTTTAACTTTAGTAATGTATACAGGAGAAGGGGTTACTAGCCCCTTGCTCCCAGCATTTTAGTCACCTCTTACAACACTCATGGAGATAAGAGGAAATAAACAAGACCAAGAATTTTTTTTTTATTATCACACTGGCCGATTCCCACCAAGGCAGGGTGGCCCGAAAAAGAAAAACTTTCACCATCATTCACTCCATCACTGTCTTGCCAGAAGGGTGCTTTACACTACAGTTTTTAAACTGCAACATTAACACCCCTCCTTCAGAGTGCAGGCACTGTACTTCCCATCTCCAGGACTCAAGTCCGGCCTGCCGGCTTCCCTGAACCCCTTCATAAATGTTACTTTGCTCACACTCCAACAGCACGTCAAGTATTAAAAACCATTTGTCTCCATTCACTCCTATCAAACACGCTCACGCATGCCTGCTGGAAGTCCAAGCCCCTCGCACGCAAAACCTCCTTTACCCCCTCCCTCCCTCCAAGGTTGGAGGTTGGAAGACCAAGAACTAGTAAGAAAATAGAAGAAAACCCAGAGGGGTGTGTATATATATACTTGTACACGCATGTGTAGTGTGACCTATGTGTAAGTAAAAGTAGCAAGATGTACCTGAAATGTTGCATGTTTATCAGACAGAAAAGAGACACCAGCAATCCTACCTTCATGTAAAACAATTACAGGCTTCCGTTTTGCACTCACTTGGCAGGACGGTAGTACCTCCCTGGACGGTTGCTGTCTACCAACCTACTCCCTAGGACACTTATTTATATCATATTCATATGCAGCTTATGATATTTTTGACTTACAATGGATTCATTGGAATATAACCTCATAGTAAGTCAAAGACCACCAGTATGTAATTAATCTCTTACTAAACAGGGGAGACTATCAACATAGCTCTGTTCCTGCAACTACAGATAGATGAATGGTTCAGAGAACCGACATGTTGACAAATTACAGATAGATAACTGCAAATATATAAAAACATAGGAAGTTACTTTGTAAACCATATTAATACCCTTGATATTACACTTAGATGGGCTGGCTCAGATGAAGAGAATGAACATCAGTTTTGTAACTTCGGGAAAAGTTTTAAGGTGGTGGAGAGAAGTGCTTCGCATGGCCGGGTTTTGGCTCGTCTCAGACACTGTTAACCTGCTTATTGTCATCCTCTTGGTTGGATTTGGAATAATCACTTTTCTTCTTTATAAACAAGTAAGTTTACCTGCATTTAAGAGTCACAGTATTGTGGTGGAAATAATTCCCCAAAACCCCACACTGGAATAATTTCTTTATAAACAAATAAGTTTACCCAAGTTTAAAAGTCACAATACTGTGGTTGAGATAATTTCCCAAAACCCTGCACTGGGGACAGGAACTTTATGATGGTGTTTTGGTCCATCTTGGACTGCTTGCCAGTGGTCCATCCTGGACTCCTTGACAGTGATCCATCCTGGATTGCTTGACAATGGTCCATCCTGGACTACTTGAAAGTGGTCCATTCTGGACTGCTTGAAAGTGGTCCATCCTGGACTGCTTGAAAGTGGTCTATCCTGGACTGCTTGAAAGTGGTCCATCCTGGACTGCTTGAAAGTGGTCCATCCTGGACTGCTTGACAGTGATCCATCCTGGATCCAAACATCTCCTAAGTACAGTTCTTGGGTGAATTTACACAAGTTCCTGCCAAAGAGGGTCCCTAGCTGAAGCTACCTTTTATAGATCTCTCTCACCCATAGTTCACATCTCGATGTCGTTTCCTCACTCTGCATCTATCAGTATTTATGTATAACACTTTATTCCATCTAAGTCAACATAGGTTATTCAAATGTTATGGTAATGACCATCATGGTATCTTGCTTTTTTATTTACATAAATGCAAGAAGGCCTCATTTGTATGGATCTTAGGTATCCAACCCTGTACGGCAAGGGAAAATCACCAGCGGATGGAAAAGAGCGTTTTTTTCATTATCAAATGTGTTTAACCCGTAAACGGTCCAAACGTATATATACGTTTTTTCAACATTTGAAAGTATGTAAAAAAAGTAGATTTTTTTTTTTTTTACATTTGAAAATGTGTAAAAAACTTGGATTTACTTTTTTTTTTTTTTGTTATATTTGAAAATATGTCAAAAACACGTAGATCTACTTTTGGAGCACTACACATGTGAACGTAGATCTGCTTGGACCGTTTACGGGTTAAAATGCCTGATAACATGTTTACAGTATCACATATTAAGTGGTCAATATGGCTCGGTATAAAAAAAAAAGAGATAAAATTAAAATAAATACAGGAGGGCCCCACTTAAACAGCTGTAAAGTGAAACACTTCTTTTTTTTTTTCAAATGCATACAAAAGCCTGATAACATGTTTACACTAGGCCTAAAAAATGCATGTACAGTATTTTCATCTTTAGCTTATGGTGAGTAGTGAATATGTTTGTTGTAGGAAGTCTGAAAACTGCTGTATGAGCAAAAGGCTGTACAGTGAAGCACTGTGAAGTGGGGCCTGCCTGTACGTATTTACCTTAAAATATAGTAATGGCCGCCTTTTCCTTACACAACTGTTGTATGAATACAGTGGAAAAGCGGTAAAAGCGCCAAACATACTGAACAGTGGCTCATTTGGAAGCCAACAGAAGAGTGAAACGCCAAAATGAAGGTGATGTATATGCAGGACCTTCTTGTACAATGTCAGTCACAAGACGCCTGTGTGGCTTGTTTAGAAGGTAATTCTACCCTCACAACCCAACCTGAGGCCAGGATACCTTGTGGACTGCCTAATCAAAAATTAGTAATAATGTTGATGGAATTACTGATAGTATGTTAAGTTAAAGGACACATGCAACTAACGTGACATTTTATTATGGCAATGTTTCACTCACCAGGAGCTTGACAAAGCTCCTGGAGGGTGAAAACATTGTCACAGTAATCTGTCACATTAGTTGCCCATGCAGGAGCAGACCTACCATGAAATTAATGAAGCTTAAGCTTCAGGGGCCTCCAGTTCCAGATGTCAACATATTCCAACACAGAGGGGCCCCGAGAAGTGACTTTAGTTCACACTGCTTAAAAATTTGGGTCTACTGTATGAGAAGGGGTTTTTAAAAAACAATATTAATATAGTGTAATTCAATACAAAATAGGTTAAAATAAAAATTTAAAGGTTATTAATCATGTAGACTAATCATTGCTGGTTGCAAAGGTGATCCCATAACAGTTCGAGCTTCAGGGACCCAAAAATGTAGCTCTGCTATTGTGCACACATGTCCTTTTGCCTAATCAGTTAGGCTGTAGCTGCTAGCAGCCCGCAGGCCCACATAGCCATCACAGCCTGACTGATCAGTCACATGTAGAATGTAATGATCTCTGCTTGTTTTTGTAAAAGATTTTATTCATCTTATTTATTGGCTTAAACTAAAAAAAATATGCAGATCAATGAATGAAATATAAAAGTCATGTTGTGCAAAAATTTGTGCTGATTAAACTCTTTCTGTAATATTGAGATTTTATAAGCAAGGTAACATTTTGTGAAGGGATTCAGGAAACCGGTTGACCAGAGAGGTGGAGATATTTGTTGTTTGGAGGTGCATCTGAACCATAGGCTCAGCAAGCCTCTGGCAAGATGGTGATAGTGTAAATGATAGTGAAAATGTGTCTTTTTTGGGTCACCCTACCTCAGTTGGAGATGGCCAGTGTTTAAAAAAAAAATTCTGCACTTCTGGATAGACAACCTTTGGAATTAATCAATATAGTAACTTTGTATGTACAGTGGACCCCCGGTATTCGATATTAATCCATTCCTGAGAGCTCATCGAATACCAAAAATATCGAAAACCGAATTAATTTTCCCCATAAGAAATAATGGAAATCAAATTAATCCGTGCAGGACACCCAAAAGTATGAAAAAAAAATTTTACCACATGAAATATTAAGTTTAATGCAATAGAATAATTACAATAACAACAATAACAATAGAATAATAACAATAGAATAATTGACACTTACCTTTAATGAAGATCTGGTGATGATTGATGGGATGGGAGGAGGGGAGAGTGTCGAAGTTGTTACTGTGTATGCCACTACGCTTCTTAAATCTTTCAAACCAACCTTTGCTGGCCTTAAATTCACTCACATCACCACTAGTTGCAGGCAATTTCTTTACCAAATCGTCATGCAACTGCCTAGCCTTTTCACAAATGATCACTTGAGAGATGCTATCTCCTGCTATCTGTTTTTCATTTATCCACACCAATAACAGTCTCTGAACATCTTCTAACACTTGTGGTCGCTGTTTCGTAATCACAGTTGCACCTTTTGCAAGAACAGCTTCCTTGATTGCCGTTTTCCTGGTCACTATAGTAGAGATGGTTGATTGGGGTTTACTATACAACCTGGCCAGCTCCGACACACGCACTCCACTTTCGTACTTTGCAATTATCTCTTTCTTCATTTCAATAGTCATTAGCACCTTTTTTCTCGAAGGGTTGGCACTAGAAGCTTTCTTGGGGCCCATGGTGACTTATTTTGCAGAAACAAGCACCAAAAACACTGTGATAATATGGAATGTACCAAATGTATCCTTAGATGCAAGCACACTGCCTGGCTTGTAAACACTGGCACACACGGGGCAGTTCAGGCCACACGTGGACACGTCTCGTACGAATCGCATCGAATACCGGGTTTTCGATCGGATACCGAGGCGAAATTTTTGCATTAAAATGCATCGAATACTGGATTTATCGAATACCAATGCCATCGAATACCGATGCCATCGAATACTGGGGGTCCACTGTATTGCATTCATTACTCTGAAGGTTCTTGCTTCAGGAAACTGGACCTACCCTCCCCTTCCTCAAATTAAACTTGATTACCTCCCAATCCCCTGATACTGTATGACCCTCATGGGTTTAGCACTTCCCCATGAATATGATGATAATACCCATTGGCTCGGTAGGCAATGCTTTCGCATCACTCACACACTGAGTGTCCTTGGTTCAATCCCTGGCTGAGTAGAAACATTTGGCATGTTTCCTTACACATGTTCCTGTTCACCTAGCAGTAAGTAGGTACCTGGGAGTTAGCTGACTTGTGGATCACATCTTGAGGGACAAGATCGAACAACCCCAGTGGAAGCAAGATAGACAGTCCTCAATGATGCAGTGACTTTCTTGGGTTATCCTGGGTGGCTAACCCTCCCCAGGTTAAAAATCTCACCAAATCTTATCTGATCTGAACCTTTTTACAGTGTTTGTTGTGTCTACAGGCTCAAGGCTATGCAAAACTCACACAAGAGATGTCGTCGAGGCGCCTCTGGTCACAGGGATCCAACAGCTCTGGAGGTTCATCAGGCAATATCACAGCTGTAGCTGAGGAACTGGACAATGGATCTGTTAGTGTTGGCAAAATTATATTTGATCCTCAACAGTTACTTGGTAAAGGCTGTGATGGCACATTTGTATTCAAGTAAGTGGTTAAAATGATTTGTCTCCTGTATTCAGAGCATTTTAATATATGCATTCTCATTTTTCATCTCCAGTGGGAACTGTGGTAGATTTTCCAACCCCACTTGGAATTGTGGTAGATTTTCCAACCCCAGTAGGAACTGTGGTAGACTGGATGACTAAAAAATTGGATAATAGATTAAGGAAATGCACTGAAAAACTTGGATGTAGTTAATTTTGTGCCAGGGTCCTCATCAGAACTTTTGTAACCCTTGGGAAAGGCTGTTAACACAGAAATTTTCCAGGTTTGTGGATAGTAATTGATCATGGTAATCAGTTAGCCAGACTTGAATCCTGGAGGTGGGAAGGGCAGTGATTGCACTCTGAAGGAGGGGAGTGGAGATATTGGAGGAGTAATCTGATTGTCAGCACACTTCTGAAAAGATGGCAATTGAGTGAATATTGATAAATGCATTTTCTTCTTTGGGTCACCCTGTCTTGGCAGGAGACAACCACTGAGTTAAAACAAAACAAAAAAGATGGTCACTCGGTTTATAAATAAATTTATAGGGCATTGAAGGAAATTATGAATAGCTTTAATAATGCTCAATAATAACAAACATGGAGACAGAAACTCAGGAGATTAATTGATCTAAATTTATGTTCTATTTTCACTTGTGTATCTGGTGAAGAGGACCCTAGAAGAGGGTCAAAATACACAGATCACTCAATCTCCTGTGTATCTGTCTCTATGTGGGTTATTATTGAGCATTGACAAATGTTCATTACAATTTAGTTGTTCCTCTTTCAACAAACCATCCATATCCCACCAAGTCAGGGTGGCCCAAAAAGAAAAACAAAAGTTTCTCTTTTTAACTTTAGTAATGTGTACAGGAGAAGGGACTACTAGCCCCTTGCTCCTGGTATTTTAGTTGCCTCTTACAACACGCATGGCTTAAAGGGAGAATCCTATTCTACTTCCTCCTGGAGATAAGAGGAAACAAACAAGAACAAGAACTAGTAAGAAAATAGAAGAAAACCCAGAGGGGTGTGTATATGCATACTAGTACGTATATGCTTGTACATCATGTGTAGTGTGACCTAAATGTAAGTAGAAGTAGCAAGACATACCTGAAATCTTGCATTTTATGAGACAGAAAAATGACTACTATCATGTAAAACAATTAAAGGCTTTCGTTTTACACTCACTTGGCAGGATGGTAGTACCTCCCTGGGTGGTTGCTGTCTACTAACCTACTACCTAGGTACACCTTAGTTATTCAACTTTAATTAATCCATGAGTTTCACACTCCTCAGAAAGTTGTATAAAATAACAGTTTTCAAATAACACACTGGCCATCTCCCAGCAAAGTAGCATGACCCAAAAATAAAGAGTGAAATACGTTCACTGTCATTTCTTTAATAAATGGACAATATTGTTGAATGTTGCATGTATAAAAATGCATATACTAATACTAATGGTGTGGTATATTTTTTTTCATATTGAAAATTCAGAGGAACATTTGATGGACGTAGTGTGGCAGTGAAACGCATTCTTCCCGATTGCTTCTCTATTGCTGACCGTGAGGTAGATCTTCTTCGGGCAAGTGATCAACATCCAAACGTAATAAGATATTTCTGCACCGAGCAGGTAAAATTTTTTTCCTGTGATTGTTGCACAGTCAAATGAGAAACCAACTAACAGAAATTTAAAATACAGTTTGACAGTGTCTTGTATATTTTCAACCTTAGTCAGAAACCTTCTTCAGCCAATGAAGAAGTTGTGATATACTAAGTCTCTCACACCTGTATTTAATATTGTCCAAGTGGTTTCTCACTTTACATCTTATCAGTATTTATTTTTAAAACTGATCGCCTTCCATTGAGGCATACAACACAAATGGCATACAGAGGAAGGATTCTTCTCCACTTCCCCATGGACACTATCAGTATTTATCATATGTTAATCCAAACATTGCATAGGAAATTGCAACACTAAGCCATGGAGTTTGATTCCTCTATTGAATACTGCTTTCTCTAAAATATTTTGCTCAAAAAGACTCCAAGGTTCCTAATTGCATTAAATTTTTTGGTTAAAGTGCCGTCAGTTCCGTTACATTGCACTGGAGCTGTGCAGCGCCACCCTGGAAGACTTCATTCAGAACAGGTTTAAGGCAAACATCAGTATTCTCAGCATCCTCCATCAGGCTACCTCAGGATTGCAACATCTTCACACCCTTGATATTGGTAGGTTTTCAGCTCTTTTGCATTTATTGTAGATGGTTTGACTGTGGAAGAATGAGACACTTGTGCAACATTTTGGAATCTTTATTGAGGAAACATTATGCCACATATTGGCTTCATCAGTCCAATAAAAAGAAGAATGGTAGAAAAAGAGAGAGTTTGAGGTAATCAGTCCCTCAGGCTGAGAGACTAATTACTTCAAACTCCTCCTCTTTTTCCACCATTCTTCTCTGTATTGGAGTGCGCAGGTTCGAATCCTGTTAACCCCTTCAGGGTCCAAGGCCAAAATCTGAAGTGGTGCTCCAGTGTCCAAGAAATTTTGAAAAAAAAAAAATTATTTTTTCTTACAGAATTAAAGAGCATATTTTTGTGAAGGTTTTTTTTTTTTTTTTTCAACAAACCGGCCGTATCCCACCAAGGCAGGGTGGCCCAAAAAGAAAAACGAAAGTTTCTCTTTTTAAATTTAGTAATTTATACGGGAGAAGGGGTTACTAGCCCCTTGCTCCTGGCATTTTAGTCGCCTCTTACAACACGCATGGCTTACGGAGGAAGAATTCTGTTCCACTTCCCCATGGAGATAAGAGGAAATAAACAACAACAAGAACTAGAAAGAAAATAGAAGAAAACCCAGAGGGATGTGTATATATACATATATATGCTTGTACATGCATGTGTAGTGTGACCTAAGTGTAAGTAGAAGTAGCAAGACGTACCTGAAATCTTGCATGTTTATGAGACAGAAAAAAAGGACACCAGCAATCCTACCATCATGTAAAACAATTACAGGCTTTCGTTTTACACTCACTTGGCAGGACGGTAGTACCTCCCTGGGCGGTTGCTGTCTACCAACCTACTACCTAGTTTTGTGAAGGTAATAAGACAAAAAAAAAAATTCTGATCAGTACTTACCGAGATACAGTGCCAAGAAGTTTGTCAAAAATGATGTGGTGGCGGCAACATCGATGAATTCCACATACACACATTACATTATTTAGCGGTTTTTCAAGTTTTTTCTTTTCTTTTCCAATTTTTTTCTATTCCTACTAACATTTGGGGCCTGAGAGACCAATACTGTATATAATGTATATATATAAACTCACTGTATTGAACACAATAACTGCACTAAAGTTATTATCATATTATTGTTTACCACTGTTGTTTATTACAATAAACATGCACAAATCTTGTATAATACTAATGTTCTATCATATATTTACATATTTACAATCACTGGACATGGTTTTAGAACTGCTGAAGCTTGTGGAACTCCTTGAAACAAGGCACCATGCACAGAGGCACCTTACATTCCTCACACATAAATAGAGTGTCTTTGCGTCTTTGTTGCCGTCGTTTTGTTTGTGCACAGACGATGCATCTCTTCTGAGCAAATTTCTTCTGAGTTGAAGGAAGCTGTATTATGAAATGATCACCTTCCCTCCTCAAACGCTTGGGTATATCCTGAGTAATTTGAGGACCTTGTTGTATAGCAGGTGTTCTTACCTGGTACTTCATTATGAGTTGTCTGACAACAGACAAACAAAATTCACCATACGGTGGTCTGTTGCCAGTCTTTATTTGGTACATATTATATGCATTGAGCATAGAAATGTCCATGAGATGGAAGAAAAGTTTCATGTACCACTTGTAACTCTTACGAACACAGTCAACAAACCAATCTGCATGTCACATTTGTCAACCAAGCGCATGTTTTGTGTATAATCAATCACTGTCACTGGTTTTTGAATACGTTCATTAGTCACTCGATCAACTTTGCCACTGTCTTGCATTTCATTACGGTGAATGGTTGTCAACAATGTGACATCTCGTTTGTCATGCCACCGTAATGCCATGATGTCCCTTGGCAGTAAACACCTGCACGTCATCACCACAGCACCTGCGTTGAGCCTGGCATATGTTTACGATTAGAACGCACTGTGCCACACACATCTGTCTTGTTCACTCGCATGAAATCACTGAGTAATGGGCTTGTGTACCAGTTATCGGTATATAATGTATGCCCCTTACCAAGATAAAGTGCCATCATGTTTCTCACTACGTCACCTGAGATACCCAATAACATCTTGGTATCTTTCAATGTTTTACTTCCCGTGTATACAACAATATCCAACACCAGGCCACTGTCACAGTCACAGAGTACAAACAGTTTTATACCAAAGCGTTTCCTCTTGCTCGGTATATACTGCTTGAATGACAGTCTACCTTTGAACAAAATCAAAGACTCGTCAATTACAAGATTCTTGAATGGATAAAAGTATATGCTGAACTTTTGTTTGAGATACATGAAAACATTTCTAATCTTGTATAACCTGTCACTTCTGTCAGGCCTGTTCACTGGTATGATTTAACTGAAGACCGGGGTAGAAATTAGCCGATCTGTGGACCAGTATGCTTTTATATTATGCTTATAGACATGAGGCATAAGCATTATTGTTGCAAAAAGCAAATACATTTCTGCAACAGTCGTCTCTTTCCACCTGTGTAGTCTTGACTGTGGTGATATGATCGTATTTGCCATGGTGTACTCAAAATACTTATTACTTTCCCTGACAATAGTTTCCATCAATGGCTGGTTAAAGAATAATTCAAAGAATTCCAGTTCATTGGCCGTGGTTCCAAGGGGACAAGTAGGTAGAATTCCACTTTGAGAGTCATCAAAGTGGTGAGGCTTGGGAACAAAATTGGGATTTTGCTGCCAATCCCACATACGGTTTGCTGGTGGATACTGGACATCATAGGCTGGTTGTGCGGGTGGTTGTGGTTGTGGTGGGCTGGAAGCTGACGCTCCGCTTTGTCCTTGAACTGACGAGTCAGCAGCGTGGGTCCCACCCTGGGCTGGTGAGTCACGCATGGCAGTGCCACTACCATCACCACTAACACCATCCACTGATGCCTGTGGTCTATCCATGCCAAGTATAGCCACATCAGCCTCACTATCACTACCTAAAACTGGTGTAGGGCCACAGGATGTACTCCGGGATGTACTCCGTCCCCTGGGCACAGCATAGGGTACACTACCCGAGCACATGCGGCGGCGAACATACCGACGTTTCACTGGTGAATATGATTCCTCACTATCACTACTCGAATGGTCGTCGAGCGCAATAAAATCACAATCCACGTCACTATCATCATCATTACTGAAGTCAGAGGCCTGGCCATGCAAAAATATTAGTTTTCTCTTGCATTGAGGAACAACCGACCGTGAGTCACGAGTGCCCACACCAGAGGTAGAAGGTTGAGGATCGTCAGGGTTTTCTGCACTATTATCAATATCCTGGTCATTCTTTTCGGTCACTAACTGATCAAAACTGTAGAATTCGTCTTCATTTCCACTTCCATCAGTGTCAGAACTATCAGATAGGAAGAGGAGAGTCCCAATTTTCCGGGGAGTGAGAGCTGACTTGCGACGAGGCATGGTGAACAAGGGTAACTGAGCCGGCGTTCCCACAATGCTATGCGGGCTCCTAGATTTTTTGTTTATGGTGCACACCCACCACACAGACCCGTTCTCTCACATGTAGGCCTATGAGCGCTTTTGCGCTAAATTTGACGGCGCTAGAATTTTGGCATAGATCTACGGTTTGGACACTCAACATGAAGCCGTAGTTCTACGGGACGGACCCTGAAAGGGTTAAAGACTGAGAGATAATGTTTGTAAATAATTTCACCCATTTGCTAATTGTTAAGCATCTTAAGTACACCTACCATCCGACTTACGACCACTCGACTTACGACCGTGTTTTTTATGCCAAATTTCTGGGAAATAAACAACTATTTGTGTTGTACACAGTGTTTATCCTAAACCTTACAGTATAAAATACAGTACTAACAACATAAAAAGTAAAGTAAAACATGAAATACCAAAATAAAACAATAAAATGAAGTCATTACAAAAATGTTTTGTTGATATTCAGTAGTAATTCGACTTACGACCATTTCGACTTACGACCGGTTTCTCGGAACTGAACTCGGTCGTAAGTCGGATGGTAGGTGTATATTTTTTTGTACCTCTGTATGTATGCTGTATGTATGTATGTATATATATATATATATATATATATATATATATATGTGTGTTATAGGTATGATGAGTTCTAATATGTTTGGTATAATTTGGTAAGGAAATGTGGCTTACTTTTTTACCAGTGCTGACTTGTTGAAGACAGGTGATGGTGGTGGATCTGTGTACGTTGAAAATATTAAATGGAGCAGCGGGCCTCCAGCAGCAACAGCCTAGTTGACCAGGCAAGCACCAGACGAGCCTGGCCCATGGCCGGGCTCTGAGAGTAGTGAAACTCTCGAAATTCTTCAAAGGTATATCAAAGGTTCAAAGGTACCTCTTCAAAGTTATTAGCTTAAAATTTTGGGAAAATTATCCTTCTGACTTTTTTAAAAAAGTCATAAAGGAAAAAACTTTGAATTGTTTGGTTTCTCCTAGGTAATTTACACATATGTTACTGTGTATGATAATTTTACTTATGTGTACCTGTGCCTACACAAACTTACTTAGAATATCTTGAAGAACACTTGAAAAAAGTTGATGTTGCTTCCCACATGCAGGATCATATCCATCCTCTCTATGCTTGCATATCAATAGATGAGCAACCAGAATTTAAGGTCAGATAATGGTTTCTCTTTTGACTTTTTAGCCTATTCTTCCCCCCATCTCCCCCCCACACACACAAAAAAAAAATTGATTTAGGGCAGGTCCAGGGCAAATACCCCTATTTTTCCCCATATGTGTTCCTAATTATAGTTAATGCTAATTTGTATAATGTGCCAGTTTTCGAGACTGTCACCCTCATGATACTCAAAGGTCCACAATACCTCTTACTGTTCTTCTAGATTTTTTTAATTATTGGAATGTAATCACAGCTCTAGATATGGTCTCTTGAGTAAGATTTAGTCTAGCCATGGACTGTCACTCTCCTGAATGGGGGGGGTTGATGCATTTAATCAATGAATACAGGAAGCACAGTGCCTGCACTCTGAAGGATGGTTGGGGATGTTACAGTACTGGAGGTGGGAAGTACAGTGCCTGTACTCTGAAGGATGGGTGGGGATGTTACAGTCCTGGAGGTGGGAAGTACAGTGCCTGCACTCTGAAGGATGGTTGGGGATGTTACAGTCCTGGAGGTGGGAAGTACAGTGCCTGCACTCTGAAGGATAGTTGGGGATGTTACAGTACTGGAGGTGGGAAGTACAGTGCCTGCACTCTGAAGGATGGTTGGGGATGTTACAGTACTGGAGGTGGGAAGTACAGTGCCTGCACTCTGAAGGATGGTTGGGGATGTTACAGTCCTGGAGGTGGGAAGTACAGTGCCTGTACTCTGAAGAATGAGTGGAGATGTTACAGTCCTGGAGGTGGGAAGTACAATGCCTGCACTGTGAAGGATGGGTGGGGATGTTACAGTCCTGGAGGTGGGAAGTACAGTGCTTGCACTCTGAAGGATGGTTGGGGATGTTACAGTACTGGAGATGGGAAGTACAGTGCTTGCACTCTGAAGGATGGTTGGGGATGTTACAGTCCTGGAGGCGGGAAGTACAGTGCCTGTACTCTGAAGGATGGGTGGGGATGTTACAGTACTGGAGGAGGGAAGTACAGTACCTGCTCTCTGAAGGATGGTTGGGGATGTTACGGTCCTGGAGGTGGGAAGTACAGTGCCTGCACTCTGAAGAATGAGTGGGGATGTTACAGTCCTGGAGGTGGGAAGTACAGTGCCTGCACTCTGAAGGATGAATGGGGATGTTACAGTACTGGAGGTGGGAAGTACAGTGCCTGCACTCTGAAGGATGAATGGGGATGTTACAGTACTGGAGGTGGGAAGTACAATGTGTATTGTGTACAATGCCTGCACTCTGAAGGATGGTTGGGGATGTTACATTTTGAAGGGTCATTTGAACTGTTAATGTTTGATTACATCTGCAACACAGATACTAATTGAATGATAGTAAACGTGCATCTTTAGCTGGGCTACCGTACCCTAGTGACATGTCATCACTGTAGTTAAAAAATGACAGAATAATAACTTTCCAAGTAAGGATTCTCATCTTTCTCTGCTATTGCAGTACACCGAGACGTCAAGCCCCATAATGTTCTGCTGTCCCTGCCCAACACTCGTGGCCAGGTTCGAGCTATGATATCCGATTTTGGCCTGTGTAAAAGACTGGAAACCGGCCGAATGTCATTCTCAAGGCGATCGGGCGTCACTGGAACAGAAGGCTGGATTGCCCCAGAGATGATGCTCAACACCTCTAGACCGGTATGTGTACCATAATTACCTATTTTGCATGATGGTAGGATTGCTGGTTTCTTTTTCTGTCTCATAAACATGCTAGATAACAGGGATATCTTGCTACTCCTACTTACACTTTGGTCACACTTCACAGACACGCACATGTATATACATATATATACATACATCTAGGTTTTTCTTCTTTTTCTAAATAGCTCTTGTTCTTCTTTATTTCTTCTATTGTCCACGGGGAAGTGGAAAAGAATCTTTCCTCTGTAAGCCATGCATGTCGTATGAGGCGACTAAAATGCCGGGAGCAATGGGCTAGTAACCCCTTCTCCTGTAGACATTTACTAAAAAAGAGAAGAAGAAAAACTTTATAAAATTGGGATGCTTGAATGTGCATGGATGTAGTGCGGATGACAAGAAACAGATGATTGCTGATGTTACGAATGAAAAGAAGTTGGATGTCCTGGCCCTAAGCGAAACAAAGCTGAAGGGGGTAGGAGAGTTTTGGTGGGGGGAAATAAATGGGATTAAATCTGGAGTATCTGAGAGAGTTAGAGCAAAGGAAGGGGTAGCAGTAATGTTGAAGGATCAGTTATGGAAGGAGAAAAGAGAATATGAATGTGTAAATTCAAGAATTATGTGGATTAAAGTAAAGGTTGGATGTGAAAAGTGGGTCATAATAAGTGTGTATGCACCTGGAGAAGAGAGGAATGTAGAGGAGAGAGAGAGATTTTGGGAGATGTTAAGTGAATGTATAGGAGCCTTTGAATGAAGTGAGAGAGTAATTGTGTTAGGGGACCTGAATGCTAAAGTAGGAGAAACTTTTAGAGAGGGTGTGGTAGGTAAGTTTGGGGTGCCAGGTGCAAATGAAAATGGGAGCCCTTTGATTGAACTTTGTATAGAAAGGGGTTTAGTTATAGGTAATACATATTTTAAGAAAAAGAGGATAAATAAGTATACAAGATATGATGTAGGGCAAAATGACAGTAGTTTGTTGGATTATGTATTGGTAGATAAAAGACTGTTGAGTAGACTTCAGGATGTACATGTTTATAGAGGGGCCACAGATATATCAGATCACTTTCTAGTTGTAGCTACACTGAGAGTAAAAGGTAGATGGAATACAAGGAGAATAGAAGCATCAGCAAGAGGAGGCAGTTAGGGTAAGATATAAACAGCTATTGGAGGATAGATGGGGTAATGAGAGCATAGGCAATGGGGTCGAAGAGGTATGGGGTAGGTTTAAAAATGCAGTGTTAGAGTGTTCAGCAGAAGTTTGTGGTTACAGGAAAGTGGGTGCGGGAGGGAAGAGGAGCGATTGGTGGAATGATGATGTAAAGAGAGTAGTAAGGGAGAAAAAGTTAGCACATGGGAAGTTTTTACAAAGTAGAAGTGATGCAAGGAGGGAAGAGTATATGGAGAAAAAGAGAGTGGTGAAGCAATGTAAAGAGAGAGCAAATGAGAGAGTGGGTGAGATGTTATCAACAAATTTTGTTGAAAATAAGAAAAAGTTTTGGAGTGAGATTAACAAGTTAAGGAAGCCTAGAGAACAAATGGATTTGTCAGTTAAAAATAGGAGAGGAGAGTTATTAAATGGAGAGTTAGAGGTATTGGGAAGATGGAGGGAATATTTTGAGGAATTGTTAAATGTTGATGAAGACAGGGAAGCTGTGATTTCGTGTATAGGGCAAGGAGGAATAACATCTTGTAGGAGTGAGGAAGAGCCAGTTGTGAGTGTGGGAGAAGTTCGTGAGGCAGTAGGTAAAATGAAAGGGGTAAGGCAGCCGGGATTGATGGGATAAAGATAGAAATGTTAAAAGCAGGTGGGGATATAGTTTTGGAGTGGTTGGTGCAATTATTTAATAAATGTATGGAAGAGGGTAAGGTACCTAGGGATTGGCAGAGAGCATGCATAGTTCCTTTGTATAAAGGCAAAGGGGACAAAAGAGAGTGCAAAAATTATAGGGGGATAAGTCTGTTGAGTATACCTGGTAAAGTGTATGGTAGAGTTATTATTGAAAGAATTAAGAGTAAGACGGAGAATAGGATAGCAGATGAACAAGGCGGCTTTAGGAAAGGTAGGGGGTGTGTGGACCAGGTGTTTACAGTGAAATATGTAAGTGAACAGTATTTAGATAAGGCTAAAGAGGTCTTTGTGGCATTTATGGATTTGGAAAAGGCATATGACAGGGTGGATAGGGGGGCAATGTGGCAAATGTTGCAGGTGTATGGTGTAGGAGGTAGGTTACTGAAAGCAGTGAAGAGTTTTTACGAGGATAGTGAGGCTCAAGTTAGAGTATGTAGGAAAGAGGGAAATTATTTCCCAGTAAAAGTAGGCCTTAGACAAGGATGTGTGATGTCACCGTGGTTGTTTAATATATTTATAGATGGGGTTGTAAGAGAAGTAAATGTGAGGGACTTGGCAAGAGGCATGGAGTTAAAAGATAAAGAATCACACACAAAGTGGGAGTTGTCACAGTTGCTCTTTGCTGATGACACTGTGCTCTTGGGAGATTCTGAAGAGAAGTTGCAGAGATTGGTGGATGAATTTGGTAGGGTGTGCAAAAGAAGAAAATTAAAAGTGAATACAGGAAAGAGTAAGGTTATGAGGATAACAAAAAGATTAGGTGATGAAAGATTGGATATCAGATTGGAGGGAGAGAGTATGGAGGAGGTGAATGTATTCAGATATTTGGGAGTGGACGTGTCAGCGGATGGGTCTATGAAAGATGAGGTGAATCATAGAATTGATGAGGGGAAAAGGGTGAGTGGTGCACTTAGGAGTCTGTGGAGACAAAGAACTTTGTCCTTGGAGGCAAAGAGGGGAATGTATGAGAGTATAGTTTTACCAACGCTCTTATATGGGTGTGAAGCATGGGTGATGAATGTTGCAGCGAGGAGAAGGCTGGAGGCAGTGGAGATGTCATGTCTGAGGGCAATGTGTGGTGTGAATATAATGCAGAGAATTCGTAGTTTGGAAGTTAGGAGGAGGTGCGGGATTACCAAAACTGTTGTCCAGAGGGCTGAGGAAAGGTTGTTGAGGTGGTTCGGACATGTAGAGAGAATGGAGCGAAACAGAGTGACTTCAAGAGCATATCAGTCTGTAGTGGAAGGAAGGCGGGGTAGGGGTCGGCCTAGGAAAGGTTGGAGGGAGGGGGTAAAGGAGGTTTTGTGTGCGAGGGGCTTGGACTTCCAGCAGGCATGCGTGAGCGTGTTTGATAGGAGTGAATGGAGACAAATGGTTTTTAATACTTGACGTGCTGTTGGAGTGTGAGCAAAGTAACATTTATGAAGGGGTTCAGGGAAACCAGCAGGCCAGACTTGAGTCCTGGAGATGGGAAGTACAGTGCCTGCACTCTGAAGGAGGGGTGTTAATGTTGCAGTTTATAAACTGTAGTGTAAAGCATCCTTCTGGCAAGACAGTGATGGAGTGAATGATGGTGAAAGTTTTTCTTTTTCGGGCCACCCTGCCTTGGTGGGAATCGGCCAATGTGATAATAAAAAAAAAAAAATTACTTATTTTGTAATTACTGTAACTATTTGAGTTTGCCTGGAGGTGAACCTGAGAATAGGTCCTGCTTCTTAACTTTTGACCAACTGATGTGATTAATAATAATAATCTTAATTTCTACAAGTACATGTACAAGGTATACAGACTATAGCTGACATCAATGACAATCCACTACAGAGAAAGCCCTTTATTATGCAGAACATTTCAGGCAAATTAGGTCAGTTTTGTCCTAGGATGCGACCCACACCAGTAGACTAACACCCAGGTACCTATTTTACTGATAGGTGACCAGGGATATCAGGTGTCTTAAGGAAACGTCCTGACATTTCCACCGTTAGCAGGGATCAACCCTCAGACCTCAGTATGTGAGCTGAGTGCGCTAGCAATTTATCACTGCTTAATTTATTTCACATGTGGAATAAATTAAGTAAAATTATATGCAATTACACTACATACTAAAAAATAATAAAAATAATATTTGTACATCTCTCTCATATTTTCAGACATGCAAAATTGATATATTTTCACTTGGCTGTGTGTACTACTATATGTTAACGAAGGGGAAGCATCCTTTTGGACCTGTCTTGGATCGACAATCCAACATCATATCAGGAAAGTTCAGGTGAGGACTTGCATTTGCCTTTTCTCATATTTATGCTCGTGTAATTCTTAGTCTCGTCAACTTAACTATCATTCATCTGGAAGACATCCCATATTTCATTCTTCTCACATTTTATTCAGCCTCAATGCAGAGTTTTTTTTTTTCTTTTAATGAACTGGCCATATCCCCCAAGGCAGGATGATCTGAAAAGAAAAACCAATTTTTTTTTTTTTTTTTTTTTTTTTTTTTTTTTTTTTTTTTTTCTCTCTCTCTCTCTCTCTCTCTCTCTCTCTCTCTCTCTCTCTCTCTCTCTCTCTCTCTCTCTCTTCAACAAGTCGGCCGTCTCCCACCATAATTTAGTAATTTAGTAATTTACACAGGAGAAGGGATTACTAACCCCTTGCTCCATTGCACAATATATCCTTTATATATTTTTACAAAAATATCCACTTGCACTGCAGAATTGGGGATGCACTCTAGGCCTCTTTTCTGTGTGCACAAAACCTGCACAGCCTGAAAAGAATTTGCCATGCCCACAATGCATTTGCTTACTAGTTACTTTTTGTTGTGCCTAACAGTGTTTTCTTACATGTAAACTACATTATCTTTGTACAGCAAAAGAGAAATAAAAATTTGAATGTGAAGTGTACATTCATAGATAAAATATTGCTAACATATTTCTTAGAAGTGATGGATATGTGTTTTCTATATTACTGTGTAATATTTGTGCAACATTGTATCTGCTACCTTTACCTTGATGGCTGTTGTTGTGTACTGCATTAGCTGTTGTTCCCAGTTAGTACCAGCTAATCTTACTTTTTAAAGAAAATAATTTATTATAGATTGAGAAAACTCGTATGAGAAACATAGTGTAAAAGATTGGCTGTATATTTTGCTGTCCTTATGAATTCTTCAGTGGTACAAAAAAGTAAAGAATGACTAGTTAATGATTCAAGTCGAGCCAAAATGTCTTCATAAGTTTCTTTTTCCTATATGTGGGTTATTTGTGTATTGTTCCAGTCACTGTATTGTGCCCTTTTATTCTTTAAGTGAAAGAGTCGTAGTTTATACACATTTTTTTATTAAATCTACCACTCTTAATAATAATAATGATATCTTCATTTCTACAAGCACATGTACAAGGTACACAGGCCTAGCTGATGTGATTTTATGTGATGAGGGGAAAAGGGGGCATTAAAGTTAGTCAGAGATTAAGGTGAGTAACACTACAAGAAGGTGATCATCGGTCAGGTTGTGGTAATCTCGAGTCTTGAGCTTCTCATTGTAATCTGTGTACAGCACTTAAAGCTTACTTACTGTGCTCTCTTCTACAGTCTCTCCCACTTCAACATTTAGGTCACCCATAGTTATTCCCTTACTTGTTTCAACACACACACACACACACACCCACCATAAACATTCACTTACAACTTCCACAGTTCCTCTCTTCTACACTCAACTCACCCCCGAAGTGTGCAAACACTTATTATAACTTCGCATCTCATCTATATCTTAATCCACATAATTCTTGAATCTAAATGCAAATTGTATCATTTTATATCACAACACAATAATTATCTCAAAAGTATTTAGAATTTGTTGCACTTTGATATGGTTATTTTGCAGAAGTATGGATCTTCTTTCAACAGACCAGTCGTATTCCACCGAGGCAGGGTGGCCCAAGAGGAAAAACGAATGTTTCTCCTTTTAAATTTAGTAATATATACAGAAGGGGTTACTAGCCCCTTGCTCCTGGCATTTTAGTCGCCTCTTTTGATACACATGGCTTATGGAGGAAGAATTCTGTTCCACTTTCCCATGGAGAAAAGTCTGGATACTTATATGTAATGATAGTTCTGTAATTGTAAAGGTAGGGATACCTGGATTTATAAAAGCCATGGATGGAGTTTATATTGCTTGTTAAATATGAGTGAGTGGAGGCAAATGGTTTTTGGGACCTGATGAGCTGTTGGAGTGTGAGAAGGAATTCAGGGAAACTGGTCAGTCAGACTTTAGTCCAGGAGGTGGGAAGTACAGTTCGTGCACCTTGAAGGAGAGGTGGGGATATTTGCAGTTTGAGAAGGCCATTGAACTGTAGTATCTGCTTGCCTCCGGCAAGACAGCAATAGAGTAAATGGTGGTGAAAGTGTTTCTTTTTCAGGTCACACTACCTCTGTGGGATACAACCAGTTTGTTATAAAAAATTACAACACTATGAATGGAAAAATTTTACCAAGGTTCTCCGAGATACTTGTTTTTGGCAAAATTGGCAATATGTTTTTGTTTTCTAAGTGGCGTGTCTTCCCATGGGATGAGTGGCATTGTCCCTTGGATCAAAATCTAAAGACCTCACGTACTATCTCTATCCTCACTTTTTATTATATAGGGTATTTAAAACATTTGAATTTTTTAATAGATATTTGGCTGAAACGATTCTATCACTAGTTTTGTACCCTTTCAGGCTTGATGATTTAGATCAAGAAAAGGATGGCAGCTGCAGGGTTTTGATTGAGAAAATGGTGAGCAGCAAGCCCTCAGAACGCCCGCCCACCTCAGCTATTCTCAAACATCCATTCTATTGGAGCCCAGAAAAAATTCTTGGCTTCTTCCAGGTGAGTTACTCTAGTACTGTATGATCCATATTAGCTTACCATTTATTTTGAGTTAAATAATAATAATAGTGAGAGATGATGAAAATGTTTTTTATCATTATTATTATTATTAATAGTGAACCTCATTGGTTATGTCCTGGCAAGGCTGGGTGACCCAAAAAAGAAAGCACCTCCAACATCATTCATTCTACTGCTGTCTTTTCAGAATAATTTTTTACTTCAAATTTGCAGGATGCTAGTGACCGTGTAGAGAAGGAAGGCGGGGACAGCATGGTTGTAATGAACCTGGAACGAGGAGGTGTGGATATTGTCCATGGAAACTGGAGACATCACATGCACCCTATCGTAGCGGAAGACCTACGTAGGTTTAGAGACTATAAGGGCCGCTCTGTGAGAGACTTGCTTCGTGCCCTCAGAAATAAGGTAAAGAGAAAACTTGTATGTAGTATAAGGTGCTCCTCGACTTACAATGGTTCAACTTACGACATTTTGACTTTCCGATGGTGCAAGACCAATTACTCTGGAGATGAAACTGAAGATAATTACCCAGCATGTAGGCAGCAAGTCCATAATTTTTTTAACATACTGGTCATCTCCCACCAAGGTACGATGACCCAAAAAAGAACCACTTTTACCATCATTTACACTATCATTGTCTTGCCAGAGGCATGCAGATACAACAGTTTAGATGTCTGTAACTTGTAATCATTTATTTACTTTTCATTACTGGTATTTACTTACAGTAATTATTTATTTACTTTTTCAGTGGCAGTAGTTATTTATTTTTTTACTCGAGTCTTGGAGGTGGGAAGTACAATGCTTGCACTTTAAAGGAAGGGTTGGGGATATTTGCTGTTTGGAGTAACATCTGAACTGTCATATCTGTGCACCCCTGCAAAGACAGTGATTATGTGTGAATGATGGTGAAAGAGTTTCTTTCTTTTTTGGGTCACCCTGCTTATATATTTTTGACTTTTGACGGATTCGTCGGAACGTAACCTCATTGTAAGTCGAGGAGCACCTGTACTTTTAGTGGGATAAAATATGGTTCTTTGGCTGTAGCAAGTTGGATCTTTTCATTAAATTGGCAAGAAAAGGTATAAGCTCTAGGAATAATTACAAAAAATTAAATGCCATTAGTTAACAAATTGTATCAAATTGCAGAGGAATCATTACCAGGAGCTTAAAGAAGAAGCCCGGTTTGTGTTTGGTCGCATCCCGGATGAATTTGTTGCATACTGGACTGATCGCTTCCCTAAACTTCTGCTGCACACCTGGTATGCTATGAGGTGTGTCAAGACTGAGCCACTCTTCAACAAATACTATGATGAGAATTACACTTTCACTCAGGTTAGTAATATATCATGTATAAGATGTGTATACCATTGGTAAATCATGTGTGTAACTATGGGCTTTCTTCATGCATAACTGAATATCACCCATCTCTGTACAAACACTGTATCGTGCATGAGCATGTTCGATAGGAGTGAATGGAGACAAATGGTATTTGGGACCTGACGATCTGTTGGAGTGTGAGCAGGGTAATATTTAGTGAAGGGATTCAGGGAAACTGGTTATTTTTATATAGCCGAACTTGAGTCCTGGAAATGGGAAGTACAATGCCTGCACTCTAAAGGAGGGGTTCGGGATATTAGCAGTTTGGAGGGACATGTTGTGTATCTTTCATCATCATTCAACACTTTCACCTCACTCACACATAATCACTGTTTTTGCAGAGGTGCTCAGAATACAACAGTTTAGAAGCATATACAGTGGACCCCCAGTTAACGAACTTTTTTCATTCCAGTAGTATGTTCAGGTGCCAGTACTGACCGAATTTTTTCCCATAAGGAATATTGTGAAGTAGATTAGTCCATTTCAGACCCCCAAACATACACGTACAAACGCACTTACATAAATACACTTACATAATTGGTCGCATTTGGAGGTGATCGTTAAGCGGGGGTCCACTGTACGTATAAAGATACATTTAGTAATACAGATGGGTTCCTCGGAACATAACACCATAGTAAGTCGAGAAGCACGTGTATATACAGATGGGGATACTAGCCCCTTTCTCCTGGCATTTTAGTCGCTTCTTACAACATGCTGTTTCGACTTCCCCATAGAGACAGTAGTTATATATTTACTTTTCATATATTCATGTTTGATTAATGATATTTTCAGCTCATGATAGGTTCCTCAGAATATAATCCCATAGTAAGTTGAGGAGCACTTGTACATACAGAAGGGATTACTAGCCCCCTTGCTCCTGGCATTTTAGAATGTTACGTATTTATTTCCATCCATTTTGCAGGTCTTGTGCTCACCTGATCAGCCTTCCTCTCAAAAAGTACAGTATCATTTTTAATGAGGCTACTGCTTACTGTTTTGTAGGAAATGCTGCTGATAAGCATTTTTAATTATTTGTATCTCCTAGTCTTATCTTGCTCTGCCACCTAACTGTACTTTGTCCTGTAACCTGTTGCTCTTTTATTTTCTGGTGTACTTTGTGTCCTGTAACCTGTTGCTCTTTTTATTTTTTGGATTATGTCTTTTCTGTGCATAGTTGAATGACCCTCTCATATTCAATTTTTTCACAAGTATAGTACATTAGTAGAAGTTGGTATAGTTGCTGCAGTTGTAGATGTTGTTTTAGTTATTGTTTTTGTTAGCTTTTTATTGCTATGCACTGTCATGTGTATTAAAGTCTATTAAATATTTTTAATTGTTTGAGCGTGCTCGTGCATGCGTGCTTGAGTTATGTGTGTTCGTGTAAGTAGCGCAATATTTTGTTTTGTGTCACAGAAGCATCCAGAAATCATCGAAAGTTATTTTAATTTATCTGAAAGCAGTAAGGCTATCTGTGATGATAGCATGAACTGAGAGCCTTGGTGAATACACTTAATAGCTGTATACTATATGGATACTTGTGAATTGAAACTACAATGTAATGGCCAGTGTTTACTATATATTTATGGCAAGAATTACATAAATTCTTACATTTGTAACTTTTTTTATTTATATATTATTGTTTTAGTGTAATCTGGCTTAAGTGTCACATGAATATAGTGAAATAATTTTCAATAGCATAATTTCTTACAGCCTCCATGGGGAAGTGGAACAGAATTCTTCCTCCGTAAGCTATGCGTGTCGTAAGAGGCGGCTAAAATGCCGGGAGCAAGGGGCTAGTAACCCCTTCTCCTGTATAAATTACTAAATTTAAAAAGAGAAACTTTTTTTTTGGGGGGGGGGGCCACCCTGCCTCGGTGGGATACGGCCGGTTTGTTGAAAGAAGAATTTCTTACAGTGCATTATATACAGATTTATGAAATTTGTCAAAATGCAAGTGTATATATAAATTTTTTTGAGTGCTTATATTAAATCTTTCAAGATACAGTACTTGATGTTGTAAAAGCTTAATGAAACCTGATTGTTCATTATTATACAGGTACTCCATAACTTACAATGTGGTTACATTCTGAGAAACTCATAATAAGTCAAAAATATTGTTGTTAAGTCGAATGTGAATACAGCCTCTCCTCACTTAGCAACATACTCGTTTACCGACGACTTGGACTTACGACGGGCCCTCTGACCAATGTGGATACCTAAATAATGTATATTAGAGTTGATTTCCTCTATTCTTTTTATTACAGTATGCAGTACACTACTGTATAAACATTTAAAAATATACCAGAAATGTTATAAATGGTGCAAAGATGACATTAAAACAATACCAAAGATGGTTGACACAAACCCACTACCATTATAGTATGATCCTCACTTAGCGACAAATTCGTTTACCAAAGGAACTCTGTCGTTAAGTGAGGAGAGGCTGTATATGCTAAATACATAAATAAATACTGTCATTGAATAGGTAAATAAACAAAGTACTGTAACTAACTACCAATACTGAAAAGTAAATACTGTAAATGAATACAAGTTACTGACTTGCTGCCTTCATGCTAGGACATTATCTTAAGTTTTATCTCCAAAGAAATTGCTTTCACACCATTAAAAAGTCAAAATATCACAAGTTGATCCATTGTAAGTCATGGAGTACCTGTTTGTTTATGTATGCCAGTCTGATAATGATATTATCAAGAGTTATTTAAAGTTAAGAACACACACACACCAGTGAAATTAGACATACACTGCATGGACCAAGCCATGGGGGCATTGACCCCTGGAACACCCTTCAGGTGTACTCCAGGTGTCATTTTTCTTGGTCCGGTTCATAATTATTAGGTCTTCCAGTTAATGAGTTGTATTGCTTTCAGGATATTCAACATGAAAACTATGCATTTGCTCCCAACAATCAACATTGGGTAGGAACTTCTAGCAGTCGACCTGGAACTTCCATGGAGGATCAACAAAACTTTCCGTTTTCCTCACTGGATGCAGCATTACAACGGGGACCGACGAAAAACTCAAGAAGTTCCAATATAAGGGAAAGTCAAGAGGAGGCTGCCCCTCGTTGGATTATACGAAAGCCATGCAATACTTTTGAACCTCAGTATAAAATACTAGAGATAAGAAATACTGAGGGTTTGTGGAGAAGACCATCGGATACGACAGATTTCAAGAACATGCAGCAGGATAACAGAATTGAACCGATTATGGAAAATAAATCAAGTCCAAAAGATCAACCGCAACAAGGGTGTCAAGACAGTCAGGAGATATTACCGAATCAGGAATGTGAATGCTCAATGATAAGCAGTGTCAGAAACACCAAAGGCGATGCCAGTGAGTCTAGTGATAATACTGAGCCTATCCAAGACCAGGGATGTGCAGCAGTGGATGATGGTGCTAATACAAGCACCAATGATGTAAATGAAGTTGCTCAAAATGAGCAATCAGACATGAGGAGAAATGCATCGCAGCTGCGTTTTAGGGCAGTGTCGACAACACCCCAGAATGTATCAAGTGAATCGGAAAAACAAATCAAATTTGTCACGGGTGTAGGGAAAAAAAAAAAGACAAAAAGAATTGATATTGACAAGAGAAAATAAATATATTTTAATAGAAACATAAATCTATGTTTCTCATGCTTTTAAGAACAAACTATTTTTTATAATAATGATAAGGAGAAGTTGTTAGACGAGGTTTAACGTACCTAAAGTGTGTTAGCACCTGTTAGCTCATAAAAAGCCTTATGTACTTTTTTTAACTTTATAACACCCAGCAAACTTTAAGAGGTATTCTGTGATACAAGTGCCTGGCTCTGTTTACCTTTCTAACCATTATTTTATAAGCTCCAGATTCCATCTCACACCATCTCTGTACTTGAGTTTCAACACTCTCATTGGGTCACAACTGCCACCTTCTTAATGGAAGCTTTCATAGCTTGCCACCAATTTTTTTTTCCAAGATCACATGGTTTTTTCATGTAAACCCACCATTTTGAAAAGGATACTTCAGTATCAGCAAAAATGGTTGACCTACAACTGATCTATTTTCTTGAATCTTCTCTTCATACTAACAAATATCTCAGTGGTAGAATATTATGAAGATTTAGATAGATAAAAATAGCAGGGATATGCAGAACTGTACAGTGCATAAAATGTGAAGCAAAGCTCAGGTTAATGAGTACCAGTACAATGATTCCATGACAAAAAAAATGAACGGGATTTTGAGTGGTCTGTAGGTGCATCTTGCGCATGTGGACATCATACATGTATATATTGTGTTTGCAGAGTGAAATTCATTCAAAAATAATATGATAGAAGAAAGAAACTTACAGCAAAGCAAGCTTTTATATACTTTAAATGGACGTTAAATATTGTGTAAATAAAGGCTTGTTCTGCAGTACAAGTTATTAACTTGTCATATATTGGTGGTACAAGGTCATTAACTTTCTCATTTATTGCTTTGTTGAATGAAATGGTGGCTATATGTAGACACGTGCACATATACATGTATCTTGTATTGTACATAATCAGTAATCTTTTCCTCCCTAACATCCTATTCTCTGAACCTGCACAATTTGCATAGTTTTAACATACCTAAATATAACGGTAATTTTTTTCAATATACTGACCATCTCCCACCAAGGCAGGGTGACCTAAAAAGAAAATGAAAGTATAATGGTAATATTTTAAAGAAATTTCCCCACAGGAGAAAGTGATAGGAAAAATGCCTGAGAGATGCTCTGTGTAAACAAAAGTGAGTCTTGTGTACAGAACAAAGGTGAAAGTACCTGCTGTAGCTCATGTGCTTAACAAGTGAAAGCTGCTAATGCTGTTGTCGTGTACATGACGACTTTTGAGATACTCTACCCAATAATTATTTAGAACAATGCACTAAAGAAGAATGGTAACCTTGTAAATAGAAATCAGTTCTTTTTTAACTCTATGGCCATCTGCCAAAGCAGGGTGACCCAAAGAAGAAAATGCATTCACCGATATTCACTCAATTGCCAGAAGTGTGCTGACATCACACTTGGACTAACCTCCAACTACAACATTCCCCCACCCCTCCTTCATAACTTCTCAGATTTATTTCTGATTTTTTATGGTTTGTCCCTAGATACACTGACATTTAGGGCAATGAACGCAGACTTGGCTGCATCAACAGATATTCACTGTCAGTCTTTCAGAGTAGAGTCACTTTTTCAGTATTTTCCAGTACTAACCCAAAGACTGAAACTTGGCAAAAGCAATGATTTGAATTAGAGAGCAACAAACTGATTTTTATCTAACTAATTAGTCTGACAAACCATGGAACAGGTGGGGTTTGAACCCATGGTGAGTGACTCGCTTGCCATGGCTTTAAACCCACCTGGTCTATGGTTTGTGTCCAATCGTGTTATTACGATTTCGTGCATTGTAATTAGGTTTTTAGTCATCTTCGCATTGCTGTCAAGTGTGAAAAAGTGTTTTTGTATATTTACGAATTGGCCTCACATGGCTCTTGCATACATACCATATATGGACAGATGTCTGGGGGGCTCCTCTGAGGATACACATGGACAAATATCTCGCCCTCTCTGAGGATACATATGGACAAATGTCAGAGGATTGCCAGATAGCTCAAACAATTCACCACATTTTAATAGAAAAGAAAGTTTGTTTCTATTGTCTTATCTGTCAGAGAGCATGTAGAATTTATTTTCTGCATTTCCAGTGCCCCAATGCACTTGCTATAACTGTCTTTCTCACCAAAATCCCCACCTTGCATGCATACTCCCTCTGACAATTTAACACAGATTAACCTCTTGCACCGATTGTGCTAATTTTACACCCACACTAACCTCCATTAACCTCTACATGTACTACACAAACCACCTCTCTCCTTTATGACCCATACAAGTTCCATACTTGTTTTCCAACATGCACAGCATGCTAGCGGCTCTCTTTTGTGCTTAACAATATTTCATGACATGTAAACATTTTGTACACTGCACAAAGAAAGTTTGTTTCTATTGTTTATAATTTATTATTTTAATCACAGTATTAAAAGGACGTGAGCTGTAATTTTAGTTTTTTATGATTATTAATTTTCCAACATTTTTTTTACAAATATTTAGCAATTATTAGCTTTTTCTGTACTTAATTAAAGCTACCTTCCTTTTGGATTAATTCTGATTATAACCCCCCACAGGTTTAGCACTTCCCCATAAATAAAAAAAAATCATATTATAAACAAACATGGACATTAAACTGAAATTTTGGAAGTCATAACATTCACACACACATACAGTAGTGACCAGCGAAGAGGCAGGGCCAGGAGCTGTGTCTCAACCCCTGCAACCACAAATAGATGAATACAGTGCTGATATTTTTTGTTTATCTATTAGCCATATTTGGATACTGGTTCGTTACAATATTGAAAATTGTGCTGTGCCTTTTATATGGTTGTGAGGATAGACTGTTTCGAAGAAAAATATATTAATCCATTCAGAACAAGCTTTTTTTATATACAGTGGACCCCCGGTTCTCGATGTCATCGGTATCCGATAAATCCGGTATGTGATGCATTATATCGCAAAAATTTTGCCTCGGTTCCCATTAAAAAACCCAGTATACAATTCGTCCGAGACGTGTCCACGTGTATGCCAGTGTTTACAAGCCAGCTAGTGTGCTTGCATCTAAGGATACATTCGGTACATTCCATATTATCACAGTGTTTTTGGTGCTTGTTTCTGCAAAATAAGTCACCATAGGCCCCAAGAAAGCTTCTAGCACCAACCCTTCGAGAAAAAGGGTGCTAATGACTATTGAAATGAAGAAAGAGATAATTGCAAAGTACGAAAGTGGAGTACGTGTGTCGGAGCTGGCAAGGTTGTATAGTAAACCCCAATCAACCATCTCTACTATAGTGACCAGGAAAACAGCAATCAAGGAAGCTGTTCTTGCAAAAGGTGCAACTGTGATTACAAAACAGCAACCGCAAGTGTTAGAAGATGTTGAGAGACTGTTATTGGTGTGGATAAATGAAAAACAGATAGAAGGAGATAGCATCTCAAGCGATCATTTGTGAAAAGGCTAGGCAGTTGCATGACGATTTGGTAAAGAAATTGCCTGCAACTAATGGTGATGTGAGTGAATTTAAGGCCAGCAAAAGTTGGTTTGAAAGATTTAAGAATCGTAGTGGCATACATAGTGTGATTAGGCATGGTGAGGCTGCCAGCTCGGACCAAAAAGCAGCTGAAAAATATGTGAAGGATTTCAAGGATTACATAGACAATGAAGAATTTAAACCTGAACAATTGTTTAATTGCGATGAAACAGGCCTGTTTTGGAAGAAATTGCCAAGCAGGACCTACATTACTCAGGAGGAAAAGGCACTCCCAGGACATAAGCCTATGAAAGATCTTCATTAAAGGTAAGTGTCATGTATTCTATTGTTAGTAGAGTACTACAAACTGTGCATGTCTTCTTCAGTTTGTGTGCATTGAACTTAATATTTCATATGGTAAATTTTTTTTTTTCATACTTTTGGGTGTCTTGCATGGATTAATTTGATTTCCATTATTTCTTATGGGGAAAATTGATTTGCTTTCCCATATTTTTGGTTTACGATGAGCTCTCAGGAACGGATTAATATTGCAAACCGGGGTCCACTATATTTAAGATGAAACAATGGCACTTATGCTCCTTGGAAATTGCCAGTGAAACTGGTCAGCTATTTTTTTAAGACTCGAGATAGCTTTCACTGCCTAATTAATGTATAGTTATTAAGTAGATGAACAGAGATGGGGTAAAGGAGGTTTTGTGTGTGAGGGGCTTGGCCTTCCGGCAAGCGTGCGTGAGCGTATTTAATAGGAGTGAATGTAGACAAATGGTTTTTAATACCTGACGTGCTGTTGGAGTGTGAGCAAAGTAACATTTATGAAGGGATTCAGGGAAACCGGCAGGCCGGACTTGAGTCCTAGAGATGGGAAGTACAGTGTCTGCACTCTGAAGGAGGGGTGTTAATATTGCAGTTTTATAACTGTAGTGTAAAGCACCCCTCTGGCAAGATGGTGATGGAGTGAGTGATGGTGAAAGTTTTTCTTTTTTGGGCCACCCTGCCTTGGTGGGAATCACCCAATGTGTTAATAAAAAAAAATAAAAGGTCAAATAATGTTTAATTCTGTCAAGAAAGCTTATATTTAGCTTTTTTTGTGTGAATTGAGTTTAGAAGCCAAAAGCTGTTGTCCAATCTTTGCTCATTTGAAAAAACTCCCTACGATGCCACCCATGATAGTTAGGTAGCACACCAGGCTAGGTGAAGAGGAGCAGTAAAATGTTGGGAGATTTGCCCACATGTCTCACCCAACCTGGGTATCCAACCCAAGTTCCTTTGATTGTGAACCAAGTGCTACACCAAGTGCTATGACCATCAGTGTTTATGGCACTTTGTATATAGATATTTATGTATTTTTTTTTAACACGCTGGCCGTGTCCCACCTGGGCGGGGTGGCCTAAAAGGAAGAACAAAGGTTTTTCTTTTTTTCAATTTAGTAATTTATAGAGGAAAAGGGGTTACTAGCCCCTTGCACCCAGCATATTGGTCACCTCTAGTGAAACGCATGGCTTACAGAGGAAGAATTATACTTCTTGAGATAAATCCAAGTAATCTGTTAGCCTTGTTGCACACACTTAGGCACTGCTGCCTTGGCTTTAGATTTCTGCTTACCATGACTCCCAAGTCTTTTTCACATTCTGTATGATCAAGCTCTACTTCACCTAGTTTATAGCTTCGAGGGTTATTTTCATTACCAAGGACTAGTACCTTACATTTATCAACATTGAACTTCATCTGCCATTTTTCAGACCAAGACATTAATTTGTCCGGATCCTCCTGGAGTTCATTGCTATCCTCCTCAGAATGAATCATATGGCCTATCTGTGTCATCAGCAAGTTTGCTCATGTCACTCGTAATCCCTTCGTCGGGGTCATTAATGTAGATTATGAACGGGGGGGGCCTGAGATTGATCCTTTTGGAGCGCCGCTGGTGACTAGTCCCCATTCAGATTTGACACTTATGTACAGTTTAGGATTCAAATTAGACAAGTTTAGATTTAGAAAGGATATAGGAAAGTACTGGTTTAGTAATAGGGTAGTTGATGAGTGGAACGGTCTGCCTAGTAAGCTAAAACCTTGGGTAGTTTCAGATTTAGGTTGGATAAGTACATGTGTGAGAGGGGTTGGATATGAGCGGGACTTGCACGTGAGTAAATGGAATTGTCAAAGCTTATTGCTTGGGTAACATTTATTCTGTTAGTGAGTTGGACTTGCGAAGGACCTGCCTAGTAAGGGCCAATAGGCCTGCTGCAGTGTTCCTCCTTTCTTATGTTCTTATGAGCTACAGGCTGTGTCATTTTTGCCAGAGGATATATGCAAAATGGTATTCTGTCAAACATGATTATGTTTTTGCATTTTTTACACGATACATGCTTTGTGTGTTTACATGCACTCACATAATCACGCACACATACGTACATATGTACTTATATACACACATGATAGCTATGAAATTTTTGCTCTGAAATTTTAACATTACTAAAGTTTTATTGACTTTAGTGAACTTAGTGGTATTCATTGGTCTTCAAGTACTTGGAATATATTTTTTCAAGTGCATGGGGTTACACATAAAATTTATATACTGTATATATATATATATTACTTCACTAATTAAAAGCAAAATTTTATTAATTTCCTCAAGCTATGGCACTATTAATGTTAATTAGCATTCATTAATATTGAGGTGATAATTTTTAAATAAAGAATATTTCAAAGACAACACATACATAATGTATCTGAAGATATTACAGTAATACACTATAGTATACCATAAACCTTATCCCGGATATTTTGATGTTAGTGACCTAAGATTAGTTTATGGTACTCTCGTATATTATCTTCATTTCATGTGCACTTTATCTGATAATACTGTATTTGAACACTGTTTTATGTTCTCCATGTTTTCATGGTAGATTTAATTTAAATGGAATTATAGGTTTCTTTAGCCTAATGGCATTTAGCTTAACATAAATTCATTGGGGATAAATACATTAAGGAAGGCACCCAACAGCCTGGTTGACCAGGCTCACACCAGACTAGTCTGATCCATTGCCGGGCTCTGAGAGTAGTAAGACTCTCGAAACTCATCGAAGGTACCCATTAACAACCACCTTTACTCCAATTAAGGGCAAATGTTTTGGTGACTCACCTCAGTCTGGTGGGTCCATTCATGTCCAGAACCATCAAAGGTACTAACCAAAGGCAGATGTACTATGAAACTAATGAAGCTTGAGTTTCAGGGCCCCTAATCCCAGAGGGGCCTCAGAAGCAACTTTAACCCACATTGCTTAAAAGTTTTGGGTCTATTGTATGAGAAGGGGTTGCAAAGAGGCCCCCTATAACAGGTCAAACTTCAGGCCCCCAGAAATGTAGGTTTGCCACCGGTACCAACACATTGACTAGGCTTGTGTGGTAGACTGGGGTAAACTTACTAAGCTGGTGTGCTACAGTGGTGTGGTAGACTGGGGTAAACTTGCTACCTGAATTTCCTATTTTGTGACTTAGTGAAACAGTGCTGTGTTTCACATGTCTTGAATTTTGACTTAAGATTTTTCTATAAAATGCATTTTTATCATTAAGCATGTGATGCCCCCTACCCACCTAATAAAAAAGTTTTTCAGGTTCAATAGAGATTAAATTTTTACGATTGTCCTGTAAAACCTGTGTAAAAATTAACGTAAGTTAACTCAATAAATTTAAGGACATTTAACTTATTTCTTAAGGTGGGTAGAGGCATCTTGAAGACAAGATCTCATACTTTTATGATTCGTTACATTTTCCTATAGAAATACTAATATGGAAACTAATTGACGTTAATATAAATGGTTATGGAAAGAAGTCAAGTTGAAGAATGAGACACTTATGTAACATTTTGGAATCTTTTTCCGGCCAGTGGCTTCTTCAGTCCAATACAGAGAAGAACAGTGGAAGATGAGGAGTTTGAGGTAATCAGTTCTTCAGCCTGAAGTTGATTCCAGGCCAAAGGACTGATTACCTCAAACTCTTCTTCATCCTCAATCATTCTTCTCTGTATTGGACTGAAGAAGCCACTGGCTGGTGAAACATTGCCACAGTAAAGATTCCGAGATGTTACGCAAGTGTCTCATTTCGTCTAGTTGATGTTGCATAAGCCCTCAGGGATCTAACATTAAAGTTAGGTTGTGGTGAATTTCAAAATATAGGAGGCATTTTCTGACGTAAAAGGTTTAAGGGGTTGGTTCATGTCATATTGGGAGCTGCACGCACTGCATGACCCATGCAGTTTTAGCTTTTGCTTCTGTAATATGATTTTATCATATTGGGAACTAGTACATGAAAATTCAACTGAGATGAAAGTTTGTTCTTTCAGCTTTCTTCAGTTATCCTTTTATATCAGTTTCATACAATATGTAATACTTTATACACAGTACTTGATACTTAAACCATTAAGGTGGTCAATGGTATTGTATATGTACTTCATTTTGGCAGTGTTGATACTTAATTGTCATTACACAAATAACCCGCACATAGGTGAATGAATGACTTCTTCATAGTTTCATTCTCCTATTTGTGGGATATTTATTACAGCCTTGGTATTGTGCCTTTTCATTCTTTGTTGTTGTATTTCCCAAATGTATAGGAGGTACACTGTATGTTTACTGGTGTCATTTAAAATATTTTGATCAACAGATTAATCATTTATAAAACTACGTACAACCAACTAGAAATAATGGAGCATGACTTAATTTTCTCCATAAAGAAGTGGAACAGAATTCTTCCTCCATAAGCCATGCGTGTCGTAAGAAGACTTTTAATTTCAGTCACAAAATTTCCCTCTAGTCATTTATTAGCAGTAATTATTTGTAAAGAATTGAATAGAAAATCTTGACGGCGTGCTCCGTTTATAATATAATTTTATACTTATTGTTTTTTTATTTATTTGGATTCAGGAGTTGCAATGAGTAGCTGATTTGTGTATTCATAACAAATCCACAAATTTGAGATGAACTTCCGATGGCAGTATGGTCAGTTGCGTCTTCAATTTTTAGCTAAAATATGCATATAAATTGCTGACAAATATAAATTATTGACACACATGATTTGGCTTAATTTTTCCCATAAAATGCAATTGTAACAGCAGTTTTGATTAAAAGTGTGATAATTTATGTATTTTAACTAAAAAATAGATTATGGGCTAGACAAACCAAAATGTCCTGTAGAGTTTCCTCTCTGATTTGTTGATTAGTTGTGAATTGTTACAGCCACTGTAACAATTCACAACTAATATGATGATGATGATGATGATGATGGGTTGCCACAGAACAGCATCTAAATTAATATCTTCAAATTACAAATAGACCAATATTTTCATAGTTGTTGGATGGGGGAAGAGCACAGTTGTCAATAACTGAGCTCCCCTCGAGCCCCATTGGAGTGGGGAGTTTGCTGGCTTGGCTCCGCATGACCTCAATGATCTGCCATGCTCCCACTGTAGAGCATCGGCACCAGACTGTCACTGCAATTATCCGTCCTGTGCCAGAGATGGTGCAGCAACCCTAGGATATGTAACCCAATCCTGAAAGAATTAAAAGGCACAATACCGTGACTGGAACAATACACAAATAACCTGCACATGAGAGAAAGAAACTTATGATGCCGTTTCAGTCCAACTTGGACCATTAACAAGTCAGACCTAAACATCGTCATAAGTTTCTCTCTCCTATGGTGTGGGTTATTTGTGTATTATAACCTAATCCTCATTCAGGAGGTAGAGATGGGTCATCATCTGATTATGACCCATGTCAAGGCTATATTTCTGATGAATGTATGAACAAAAGTCGATCTTTAGTTGACATGTAAATTTTCTTTCTAGTTTTTAGTTTACATGAAGCTTTTCCAAGAAATGTTTGTTTTATGGCCCATGTTTGAAATTTTAGATAATCTATTGTATAATGTAAGTGAAAATGCAGCCAGTTTTCCCCGTGAGTCTTATGCTTCAATTATGAATACGTATTTTGAAAACTTGTTTCATATATACTCTTATGATATTTCTGTCTAGCATTCAAGTTTTAATTTGATTCAGTAAGCATCGGGAAGAATGTTTTATAAGTTTATTGTCACATCTGGTAAGTATATTTAGGTACACCTACACATACACAACTATTATACATAGTAACATATGTGTAAATTACCTAAGATAATCCAAAAAAGTCAGGCAAAGTGTTTTGATAATTAATCTTTGAAACATTATCTTGTAATATATAATATCACTGGGAAAAACATTTGTCTGCATTATAGTTAAGGTTTAAAGTATCATTGTAAAAAACATTGTATGTTTTTTCTCCTCGCATTGAGTAAGGCTTTTGGGTTGGAATGTGTTGGGTTGTTGGCTGAATTATTTTTTTTTTTTACATTTTGAATCAGAATTAAATCATTTATTCCATTATATAGAACTGTAGGATGTTATAAATTGCAGCCAGGTCTCAATTAGTGAGAGTTCGAATACAGCGAATTTTGATTTAGTGCAAAATTAATTAATGCAGGTTTTCCCTTGAACTCTTCAAATCATATACAAAAGTTACATATAATTTGAATAGCACAAATTTGAATAATGAAACGACATCACAGGATTCATTTTTTTAACACACTGGTCGTCTCCCACCGAGGCAGTGTGACCCAAAAAAATAAACACTTTCACCATGATTCACACATGCCAGAGGCATGCAGTTAAGACAGTTTAGATGTCCCTATAAACCCCTCCTTTAGAGTGCAGGCACTGTACCTGCCACCTCCAGGACTCAAGTCTGACTAACCGGTTTCCCTGAATCCCTTCACAAAATAATCATTATTTACACCAATTGAGACTTGGCTGTATGTCTCCTCTGATACTAGTAAAGGATTCTTTTCTCCAGGGAATTGGAACAACCCTCATTTTCCCTGAATCAAACCAGATTACTTTCCATTCAAGTACTGTGTGACCCCTACAGGTTTAGCACTTCCCTATAAAAATAACAATAGTCATAATATGAATTGTCTTACATTATTTTTTCAGCTCTGTAGTGTTATTGAGAGAGTATATCATTTAAAGGTGAATATTTTGTATAAAGGTTAAGACTATTTGTATATATCAGTAGAATGTAAAAATTAAAAATAGACCACACATGTTGCCTTAATATATTTACTGCAAATAAATATTTTAGCCTGCATTAGAATAAAATTGTATTTAAATCCATGTAACTTATATCCGTGGTTAATGTTCGGGTTACTGAATAATTTAGCATTATCCTTGTTGCTCTTTGGATCTATAAATGAGAAACTTTTTGTTTTTTCTTTTGCAGTCCAGTACATGTATTTCAAATTTTTTTAAGTAAATTTAAACATTTTAAGGAAATTTCAATTTTTCCATTAAAACCAAGATTCACAAATAACCTGCGAGTGGGAGAATGACCACAACATTTTGGTCCAACTTCAACATTTACTAGTTAATGGTCCAGTTTGGACCAAAATGTCGTCACAAGTTTCGTTCTCATATGTACAGGTTATTCACGTATTGTTCCAGTCACATATTATGCCTTTCTATTCTTTAAATCAAGATTATTTACTTGCCACATTTGATAGGAAGGAGCCTGAATATTGAGTGTATGAAGAACAAAGAGGCACAGTACAGTAAGTCCTTGACTTACAAATGCATTGAGAATCTTCTGTAGTGTGTATAATATCATTGTTATATCATTATTGTGTATAATATCATTATTATATTATTGTGTATAATATCGTTTGTAAGTTGAAGACTTCCTGGATTATGAATATTATACACAATTCAGGAGGTCCTCAATGTGTCTGTAAGTTGAGGACTTACTGTACTGTGACCAACAATACACAAATAACCCACACATAAGAGAGGGACACTTACAACATTTTGGTCCATCTTTGGTCCAAGTTGGACCAAGACGCCATTATAAACTCCTATCTGTGGGTTATTTGTGTATTGAGCATATGTATTATACAATCATTATATTAATTTTATACTTGAAATGTACTGTATCAATTTCTAGCAACACACAAGCAGATGTTGGTGCAAAAGCTATATGTATTTCATACTGTTTATTGTAATGCAGTACCGATGCCCGATATAGTATACTATACCTCACTTGGCGGGCATCGCACATGACATAAAAGGTGCTTTTATATCTCATGTTGTTTGTTATAGTGTCTATTGCATATTGACATTAAATACAGTTTATTTTATCTATGTATTTGAAATATTCTAGCCTAGAAAACCTTGAAAAGCAAGCTATTGTTTTTGGAAGGTAAACCTCGGAAAACAGTCTGTTCTTTTTAGAAAGTTAACCTCGAAAAATGGACTGTTGTTTTTGGGAAGTAAGTCAATAAACACAAGCTGTTGTTTTGGCAAGGGAAAGAACAAATTTTAATAACTTCTGACTCCCATATTTAATTTAATTTAAACCTCGTGTATTTCACACTTGAAAATACAAAAAAATACGTATTTTAGAATTTTTTAGGTGTGTTATTAAAGAATTGCAAGCTATATAATATTTTATAATTTGTATTTGCATGTAGTGTTTTATATATTTTTATAAGAATTTCACTACATGAATTGTAGGTGGATAAACATATGTGGTATGTGACTGGGTATTATATTTGTATGAAGTATATTGCACTTTTCTGTTCTCTGACAGTGGATAGAGAATAAATATACAGCATAAAAGAAGAGTTTGCATTTTGTTTATCCTTTTTCCGCCCCAATTGAAATAGTCACAGTAGCAGCAAGGCGTCTGAATCATTCATATTACAACAAAATTCTGTCTTTGGAGCTATCATTCAGTCTGATTTCAGATAACACTCTCCTTTCCACTGTTTCAGTGCTATATGCAGCACCTGTATGATCCTTATTGGTTTATCACTTAGTTTTGACTGTACAGCCTCTCTTCACTGAACGACAAAGTTCAGTTCCTAAAACCACGTCAGTAAATGAATTCGTCGCTCAGTAAGGAACATACTATAATGGTAGCGAGTTTGTGTCAACCATCTTTGATATTATTTTAATATATTTAATATATTTATAGATGGGGTTGTAAAGGAAGTAAATGCTAGGGTGTTCAGGAGAGGGGTGGGATTAAATTTTGGGGAATCAAATTCAAAATGGGAATTGACACAGTTACTTTTTGCTGATGATACTGTGCTTATGGGAGATTCTAAAGAAAAATTGCAAAGGTTAGTGGATGAGTTTGGGAATGTGTGTAAAGGTAGAAAGTTGAAAGTGGACATAGAAAAGAGTAAGGTGATGAGGGTATCAAATGATTTAGATAAAGAAAAATTGGATATCAAATTGGGGAGGAGTATGGAAGAAGTGAATGTTTTCAGATACTTGGGAGTTGATGTGTCGGCGGATGGATTTATGAAGGATGAGGTTAATCATAGAATTGATGAGGGAAAAAAGGTGAGTGGTGCATTGAGGTATATGTGGAGTCAAAAAACATTATCTATGGAGGCAAAGAAGGGAATGTATGAAAGTATAGTAGTACCAACACTCTTATATGGGTATGAAGCTTGGGTGGTAAATGCAGCAGCGAGGAGACGGTTGGAGGCAGTGGAGATGTCCTGTTTAAGGGCAATGTGTGGTGTAAATATTATGCAGAAAATTCGGAGTGTCGAAATTAGGAAAAGGTGTGGAGTTAATAAAAGTTTTAGCCAGAGGGCAGAAGAGGGGTTGTTGAGGTGGTTTGGTCATTTAGAGAGAATGGATCAAAGTAGAATGACATGGAAAGCATATAAATCTATAGGGGAAGGAAGGCGGGGTAGGGGTCGTCCTTGAAAGGGTTGGAGAGAGGGGGTAAAGGAGGTTTTGTGGGCAAGGGGCTTGGACTTCCAGCAAGCGTGCGTGAGCGTGTTAGATAGGAGTGAATGGAGACGAATGGTACTTGGGACCTGACGATCTGTTGGAGTGTGAACAGGGTAATATTAGTGAAGGGATTCAGGGAAACCGGTTATTTTCATATAGTCGGACTTGAGTCCTGGAAATGGGAAGTACAATGCCTGCACTTTAAAGAAGGAGTTTGGGATATTGGCAGTTTGGAGGGATATGTTGTGATATTGGCAGTTTGGAGGGATATGTTGTGTATCTTTATATGTGTATGCTTCTAAACTGTGTATTCTGAGCACCTCTGCAAAAACAGTGATAATGTGCGAGTGTGGTGAAAGTGTTGAATGATGATGAAAGTATTTTCTTTTTGGGGATTTTCTTTCTTTTTTGGGTCACCCTACCTCGGTGGGAGACGGCCGACTTGTTGAAAAAAAAAAAAAAACCTTTGCACCATTTATAACATTTTTAGTATATTTTTGAATGTTTTTACAGTAGTGTACTGTATATAGTAATAAACAGAATAGAGGAAATCAGCTCTAATATACATTATTTAGGTATGCATACTGGTCAGAGAGCCTGTCATAAGTCCGAGTCGTCGTTAAACGAGTACGTTGCTAAGTGAGAAGAGGCAGTATCCCACCAAGACAGGGTGGCCCAAAAAGAAAAACAAAAGTTTCTCTATAAATTTAGTTATGTGTACAGGAGAAGGGGTTACTAGCCCCTTGCTCCCGGCATTTTAGTCACTTCTTACGACATGCATGGCTTACAAAGGAAGAATTCTGTCCCACTTCCCCATGGAGATAAGAGGAAATAAACAAGAACAAGAACTACCTGGAGTTTACCTGAAGAGACTTCCGGGGGTCAACGTCCCCGCGGCCCGGTCTGTGACCAGACCTCCTGGTGGATCAGAGCCTGATCAACCAGGCTGTTACTGCTGGCTGCACGCAAACCAACGGGGTGTGTGAGAGTGAGGTGAAAGTGTTGAATGATGATGAAAGTATTTTCTTTTTGGGGATTTTCTTTCTTCTTGGGTCATCCTGCCTCGGTGGGAGATGGCCGACTTGCTAAAAATAAATAAAAATAAATATAAATATATATATATATATTATATATATATATATATATATATATATATATATATATATATTATATATATATATATAATATATATATATTTTTTTCCAACAAGTTGGTCGTCTCCCACCGAGGCAGGGTGACCCAAAAAAGAAAGAAAATCCCCAAAAAGAAAATACTTTCATCATCATTCAACACTTTCACCACACTCACACATTATCACTGCTTTTGCAGAGGTGCTCAGAATACAACAGTTTAGAAGCATATACGTATAAAGATACACAACATATCCCTCCAAACTGCCAATATCCCAAACCCCTCCTTTAAAGTGCAGGCATTGTACTTCCGTTTTCCAGGACTCAAGTCCGACTATATGAAAATAACCGGTTTCCCTGAATCCCTTCACTAAATATTACCCTGCTCACACTCCAACAGATCGTCAGGTCCCAAGTATCATTCGTCTCCATTCACTCCTATCTAACACGCTCATGCACGCTTGCTGGAAGTCCAAGCCCCTCGCCCACAAAACCTCCTTTACCCCCCTCTTTCCAACCCTTTCGAGGACGACCCCTACCCCTCTTTCCTTCCCCTATAGATTTATATGCTTTCCATGTCATTCTACTTTGATCCATTCTCTCTAAATGACCAAACCACCTCAACAACCCCTCTTCTGCCCTCTGACTAATGCTTTTATTAACTCCACACCTTCTCCTAATTTCCACACTCCGAATTTTCTGCATAATATTTACACCACACATTGCCCTTAGACAGGACATCTCCACTGCCTCCAACCGTCTCCTCGCTGCTGCATTTACCACCCAAGCTTCACATCCATATAAGAGTGTTGGTACTACTATACTTTCATACATTCCCTTCTTTGCCTCCATAGATAATGTTTTTTGACTCCACATATACCTCAACGCACCACTCACCTTTTTTCCCTCATCAATTCTATGATTAACCTCATCCTTCATAAATCCATCCGCCGACACGTCAACTCCCAAGTACAGTGGACCCCTGCATAACGATGGCATCACATAGCGATTTTTCCGCATACCGCTTACTTTTATCGCAAAATTTTTGCCGCGCATACCGATTAAAAACCCACTCACCGATTTTCGTCCGAGACGCGTCCAATGTGCCCTCACATGTGCCGCCCGTCCCATTGTTTACCAGCCAGCCTCCGCGGTAACATCCAAGAATACACTCGGAATATTTCGTATTATTACAGTGTTTTCGGTGCTGTTTCTGGAAAATAAGTGACCATGGGCCCCAAGAAAGCTTCTAGTGCCAACCCTGTGGTAAAAAGGGTGAGAATTAGTATGGAAATTAAGAAAGATTTTGAAGGGTTTGGGGCTAACCCTGAGAAGCCTATGCCAGTTGTGGAATCCATTGTGCCTACTTCAAAGATTAAGGAAATGTGTGCACAGTGGGTTGAACTGCAAACCTTTATAGATGAAAATCACCCTGACACAGCTGTTGCAAGCCGTGCTGGTGACTATTTCAATGACAATGTTGTGGCCCATTTTAGACAAATCGTAAAGGAACGGGAGGTACAGAGCTCTATGGACAGATTTGTTGTGCGACAGAGGTCCAGTGACTCTCAAGCTGGTCCTAGTGGCATTAAAAGAAGAAGGGAAGTAACCCCGGAAAAGGACTTGCTACCTCAAGTCGTAATGGAAGGGGATTCCCCTTCTAAACAGTAAGAAGATAATGCTCTCCCCTCCTCCCATCCCATCAATCATCACCAGATCTTCAATAAAAGTAAGTGTCATGTAATTGTGCATGCCTTTTTCAGTTTGTGTGTATTAAAATTAACATTTCATGTGGTAAAAAAATTTTTTTTTCATACTTTTGAGCGTCTTGCACGGATTAATTTTATTTCCATTATTTCTTATGGGGAAAATTCATTCGCATAACGATTATTTCGCATAACAATTATCCCTCTTGCACGGATTAAAATCGTTAACCGGGGGTCCACTGTATCTGAAAACATTCACTTCTTCCATACTCCTCCTCCCCAATTTGATATCCAATTTTTCTTTATCTAAATCATTTGATACCCTCATCACCTTACTCTTTTCTATGTTCACTTTCAACTTTCTACCTTTACACACATTCTCAAACTCATCCACTAACCTTTGCAATTTTTCTTTAGAATCTCCCATAAGCACAGTATCATCAGCAAAAAGTAACTGTGTCAATTCCCATTTTGAATTTGATTCCCCATAATTTAATCCCACCCCTCTCCCGAACACCCTAGCATTTACTTCTTTTACAACCCCATCTATAAATATATTAAACAACCATGGTGACATTACACATCCCTGTCTAAGACCTACTTTTACCGGGAAGTATTCTCCCTCTCTTCTACACACCCTAACCTGAGCCTCACTATCCTCATAAAAGCTCTTTACAGCATTTAGTAACTTACCACCTATTCCATAAACTTGCAACATTGCCACATTGCTCCTCTATCCACTCTATCATATGCCTTTTCTAAATCCATAAATGCAATAAAAACTTCCCTACCTTTATCTAAATACTGTTCACATATATGCTTCAATGTAAACACTTGATCTACACATCCCCTACCCACTCTGAAGCCTCCTTGCTCATCCGCAATTGTACATTCTGTCTTACCTCTAATTCCTTCAATTATAACTCTACCGTATACTTTTCCTGGTATACTCAGTAAACTTATTCCTCTATAATTTTTACAATCTCTTTTGTCCCCTTTCCCTTTATATAAAGGGACTATACATGCTCTCCGCCA